TATATATATATATATATATATATATATATATATTCATATATATATATTCATATATATATATTATAATATATTCAATATATATATATATATTCATACAGTTGAAACCAGAAGTTTTCATACACCTTGCAGAATCTGCAAAATTTTAATTATCATACAAGTCATACAAAATGCATGTTATCTTTATTTAGTACTGACCTGAATAAGATAATTAACTTAAAATATGTTAACATATAATCCACAAGAGAAAATACATCAAGTATAATTGTACATCCTCATAATTGTATGTAGCTGATATTTATTTATTATATAAAGTGATTTAATATATAATCACGAGTATAAGGTGAGTTTTGATTATTATTATTATTATTATTATTATTATTACTATTATTTAGTTATATAAACTTATTAAATTAAATGTAATTATATTTTAATTCTACATAATTTGAAATTACAATTCTAAATCTGCTAAATATGCTACCTTCATACAAATTCAGTTCAAATAAAAAAAATGTAATAGGGTTACACTTTATTTTAAGGTGTCCTTGTTCCAGTGTAATTATACTTTTAAGTACTGAGTAATATTAATTAACTACATGTACTTACAAATGGTTAGGGTTAGGATTCAGGTTTGGTTTAGGGTTACTTGCATGTAATTATGCATAATTTATTGTTATTATAATAGTAAATACATGTAACGTGTAACGAGGGCACCGTAAAAAAAAAAAAAAGTGTTACCTTAAATTTGAATGCAAAATGCATTCAATTTAAAATTGAGTTCTGAATGGCACTTAACCTTGGATCCCAGACTCCCTAGAGACAGTAGTCTGTCTGTGGTACAGGTAACTGGTGTTTGTTCTCTTTCCAGCCTGTCATGACATTATGTAAGTGGCCACGATAGAATTTGAGAAAGTCAGGCAGGCGCGTGTAGCAGACAGACGCGTGGAAGACGCTAGAGGGTCAGCTTTGTGTCAGCCGTGACAGTCTCACTGAGAGAGCGTAAGATAGACTACAGAGGCACCTGAGAAATAAGAGCTGCCATTTAAACCCAACCTGTCGCTCTGAGCTACAAAGAAAACTGCTCGAAGGACCCCTTCCCCGTCGATACAGACTTAATATTTCACTAAATTCTCATATTCGGCATTAGTTTAAGAAAGTACAGATAAGCCTAATTTCGGAAACCATGAATGGTGTGAAATCCTTCTCATTTCCTGGGTCATTTGCTGAGCGGACCGGTGTTTAGCATTAGAATATGCACCTCATTATTGTAGAAAACCTCAGCGAGATACTCTGCTTACCGCTTCTCATTTGCGTTCGCCGCTTACTTAAATCATACTTTTCTTTAATTCCAGCCTGCTATTTTTCCTTAGAAACTATTCAACCTGTAACTAACCCATTTTCACTTTTTAAGTAGCGTCTATGAAGAAAAAAGCCTAGACAGAATGCGTCGTTAGAGCTCATTTTCGCACCACAGTGGAACCGAGTCAGTTTCTCTCCAAATGGACTTTCGTTAATGTCCGCGGCTCGTTCCCACTTCTCCTTCTCAATCACTTCATCTCTCTCTCTCTTGGCTTCGATAATGAACAGCTGAGAGCCATTTGCACCTCTTCTTGCTTCCTGTGCTTTCTCTCGCATCTTTTTCATAATTTCTTACTCCCTATTTCTTTCTTCTTCTCTCTTTTGTCTCTAGGGACTGTGCACTGTGACTGCTGCCTTTTTGCACTTCTTCTTTCTGGCCTCTTTCTGCTGGGTACTGACAGAAGCATGGCAGTCCTACCTGGCTGTGATTGGCAAGATGAGGTCCCGCCTCATTCGCAAGCGTTTCCTGTGCCTGGGCTGGGGTAGGACACCCGCACACACACCAGAAACTAACATCAAAGGTCAAAAGCGATGTTATTGTAATGCTTCAGTTTTGCATCCATAGGATTATAACATGCCAGCTCTTATCAATTCAGTCACATCAGATTGTCTGCAATGTCAGTTTGCTTCAGTGGAGCCCAATGACACACCATAAGCATGCCACAGGAGCTCAATGTTACTTCTGTATTACAAGACGTAGATGTCCGATCGTTGATAAGAAATGCATTGTGTGCATCCATCTTAACACTGGCGGGATCTGAAAGGATATTCAAGCACTTGCAGTAGCACACACATACTTGCTTTGTTACTTATTGATCCACAATCACTTCCATTAATTCATAGATGCCCTTTGCAGATATTGTAGAATAGCATTGCCGCCCCCAGGGAAGTGGTAGATTTCTAACTAGGATGTCCAAAAAGTATTACTCATGTTACTCAAAATGTGAAATGTGGATATTGTCATAGATTGCTCTGGCTGGTCGTGTACAAGGTTAGATGGAGGTGATTGCATGGGCGACCTAAATTTGAATCCAGCTTGTGTTATTTCTTCTCCCTATTGTTTTGAGTCTTATATCTGACTGTCTAATCCATAAAGCCAAAAGCCTATTATAAAAAATAAAAAAGTAAAATATGAATATGCAACACATATGGTTAAATAAATAAATAAGTAAATAACATTGTTTATTGGCTTCTTGGAATTGTCAAGAAAGTATAGTTTGTAATGATTAAAATGTAAAAAAAAAAATCAATAATTGATTGATTGATTGACTGACTGACTGACTGTCTGTCTGTGAAAAATTAATTAAATAATATTAATGGACATTGAAAATTACATATTTTCCCAACAAAGAAAAATATAATTATTGCATTTTAATCTTTACTGGATAAATAAATAAATACATAAATAAATAACAGTGGAACGTGTGTGTTTCACGAGTGACAGATTTTTTATTTATTTATTTATTTGCCTACATTATTCCTTGTCTGCTGCAAGATATATCATATATTTATAAAGATTTTATATTTTTAAGATTTCTGTTTGTGTCTCAGTGTTGTTGTTTTTTTATGCTGCTGGAAAAAGAAATGATTACAATATACAGCTACTTTTGAAGGATCTTCCTTGAAGAAACCTTATTTTGCCCACATAGTGTAGTGTGGTTACGGAATCGACCAGAAGGAGCCAACTGACTATTCTAACAATCCAAACTTTGACCCCCCCGCAGGTTACAGTATGCAATGATCACAGCTTGAATCCAGAGCAAACTCATGTTCCTTCATTGTGTGCTGCTTCCTCCAGAGGAACTTGAATTTGGATCCCGTTCATCCCCTCCCTTCCCACGTTTTTCAATCCTGTTCTCTAAACCGGAGTTTTTCTAATTGCCTTTAATTTCCAGAGTTAATCAGAGCATTGTTAATTACATGAATATTTCAGAGGAGAGCTCATTATGTGTGGACGTGGCACACAGACATAGAGCGAGAAGAATGGATAGGTCTAATTAGCACATGAGTAAAGCTGGCCTCCCTGACTGTGATGGCAAACACAATAGGGATGACACCAGCAGGAGAGGCCAGGAAGCCCTCACACACACCGGGAGGAGAGGGAGGATGGGATTCTACAAAGTAAAGGTCACTGTACACGTCAGTGTAATCAAGGACCAATAAGTACACCTTCCTCAGTCTTGAGATGGGAAACTTCATTCTGAAAAGATCTTTAACTGTGATAGTGTTTACTGCTGTATACTAAATAGTCAAATGCAGTCTTTTTTATTTGTATTTTTGAAATTCCTACGAGGGAACAATTATATTCAAGAACTCATGAACATTTAATATTATATAGATTCTCGCAAAGAAAATACAATTATAAAAAATAAATGCACAAATATTATACAATTATATAATTGTATATATAATTATTAAAATATAAAAAAGATATAAAATATAAATATTGAATTTTCATGACCTGATATATGAAAACGTTTTTCACAGAGTCCTGCATACTTTGCCAACTGCATGTCAAATGCATTCATTCATTCATTCAATTCAGCTCATTCTTTCATTCATTCATTCATTACTTTTTTAATAAGGTTTTGTGATTTTATTTATTTTTTATTATGGTTTCGGATTTATTTATTTTGTAACAAATATAAATTTGTACAATTCCAAGACATGTCAGTATTTACAATTGCATGCTTATTATATATATATATATATATATATATATATATATATATATATATATATATATATATATATATATATATATATATATATATATATATATATATATATATATATATATATATATATATATATATATATATATATATATATATATATATATATATATATATATATATATATATATATATATATATATATACAAGTTACTTTTATTATATTTTTTGTACATCTTATTTATAAATGGGAAGCTCTGACTTTTTTCTGATTTTTTTTTATTGCATTGTACTGTATGACATAAAAAAAAAACTTGAAAGCAATTTGACAATGTGATATATCCAGAAACATTAAGTAGTAAGATAAAGAGGTTGTATTTAAAATATCCCTTTCACTTTCTTAATTAAAATAAATTTGCTATACTGAACATGTTATTTTACACTTTGTGCCCTTGGATTTCTGAATTGAAACATTTTAAATATATGCATTTGAAAGCTAACACCTGAAGCAAAACACAGTAATGTGCATCTAATGATATTATACCAGGGCCAGACTGGGACGCAATTTCAGGCCGGGAAATCTCACATTCATCCAGGCCATCCTATACACCAACAACAATTTCTGAAACCACAGACAACCCTATTATTTCTATGGCCATCACATAAAAGGTCTAAATCTTTAGTCTGGGGCCGTGGAAAATAATTAGGTTATTTCTTGAACGGCACCTTCACTTCCTTTTTTTATTTTCTTCCTTTTCTTCATTTTCCCCAATATCGCTGTCTCTCTACTGTTATGAACAGAACTGTGTCCACCTTGTTGCAAAACAACCATCTCATTGCAATTTGTTAGCACAGCATGTTGTCATTTATCTTAAAATGACTTAAATGCCCAAGATTTAACAAACCTACATTATATTTCATACAAGTATATTAAAACACATTTTCTAAAGTGCCTAAATGTCAAAATTAGTACAATATCTTTATTAAAAAATCCTAATATTGAACACGCTATTGCATTATTAGGCTGTGATCCATATTAACATATGTCTGCTAAATGTATTAATGTAACTTTACAATCAATAATGATGCCCTTTAGCACAGTATTCTGAATGATAATAATAATGGGGTGCTCCTGATAGCCTAACAGCAGTTTAATAGCCTACTCAACTAGGTTAATAAAGACAAAACTACAGTAGCGTATTTACTGATGAAACTGACCTGCACATGAATCCCTGGTCAGTAATTTTGCTACATTTCACTGCTTCTTCTGGCCGTTTCCTCTCCTTCCTCGGGTCCCGCATATCGATTACTCTGTTTGAAACTGTTTGACAGTTTTTTTTATCGATTTATTATCGAATGACAAAATTGGAAATGATCACTTTGGTACATTGGGATGGCAAAGATATAAAATATTAATAATAATAATAATAATAATAATAAAACAGGGACAAATCAGCCGTCAGGCCACCGGGAATTCTCCCAGTGCTCCCGATGGCCAGTCTGGGCCTGCATTATACTGTACGACATATAAGCTTTTTGGTAACAGCTAACATTCACAGTGTTTCTATAAGAGGGTCATAGTGCTCTCTCTGTGTACTTGCCCTGTGGAGCACTTTTAGAGAACACAGACGGGAACATTTACACTGCTACACTTCAGCCTCATGAAAAAAGACACATACACAGAGACCCATGGGAATTGCTCTCTGCTAAAGTAGTGTGTCTGGGGTCTGGGAGGGCACTGCGCACAGGGGGAATGGTGTACCTGTATGCCATGTGCATTTGTCCATGAAAAGGGCACAAGCTACAGAAAGTCACCAATGTGAGAGGAGATTACTTCAGCCAACTTCCCCTCCAGCCTCTGGCCATTTGCCGTTAATGGTTCTGAAAAAATGAAAAATTCTAGGTTGCATTTTCTGTTCATAATTTTCCTTTTAGCAGTGCTTGTCCACTGTTATTATACGTGGCGGGCAATTTTCGCATGCAGGCTAAATTTATAAAATATCTTTGCTTTCACTGCATGTCAATATTTACTTCTTTTTTTTCAGAATTTCAACTCAATATTCTTTATCAGTAAATAATTTCAATGAACTTTGCCTCCACATGTTGCATTAAAATACTAATAAGCAATTAAACAAATTTTCAATTTCAGTGGGTTGTTTTTTTCTTTCTCCCTTTCCTCATCATAAGCTTTATCTTGCAGGTCTTCCAGCCCTTGTGGTCGCTGTATCTGTGGGTTTTACCCGGGCCAGAGGTTACGGCACGCCAAGTTAGTAAGTATCACTGATGCAGCACAGTTTCACAAAGAAAATATTTATGTTACACTAAAACATTGTTCTGGTTCTGTTTTGAGGGTTACAGTATGTCAAGTCTCAGTCAAGTCTTTGGATGTTAAAATAAATACAGAAGTACCTACAGTACATCTAAAATACATTACGATATTTATTTGTTATAGTAATTTTGTATGATCACAGAGTACTTGGTAAAATGGGTAGTGGGTCATATTGCATTGTCTTTAAGTTACATTCAGAAATAATGTAAAATATTGGTAAATAAAACAAAACAACCACTATAAAAAGGCATTGAATTTCCCTCACTCCAAAATATTTTTTTAAATTTATTTAAATTTATTTAACTTCTAAACAAGAATAAAATATTTTTTTAGGCTTGTCATTTATACTAAATGTTTATAATGAATGCCACTATTATTTATGTATGTATATATATATATATATATATATATATATATATAAAACAAACATAAATAATAGTGGCATTCATTATAAACATTTAGCATAAACGACAAGCCTAAAAAATATTTGAAGTGAAACTGAAACTACTAGCATGTGGAAAATGCACATGTTTGACATTTATTGCTATGTACAGTATATGACAAACATTTCACTCCAGTATATAGAGTTTCACAAATCTAAGAATGATGATTTGATATCTATTTTTTATTTTTTTATTTTTTTCAATCAAAATGTCCTAATTTATGTTCATGTCAAGAGACCAGTGAACAAATAATAGGTAACACTTTTCTCAGTGTTAACTAGTTATTAGAATTATTAACATATTGGCTGTTTATTAGTATTTATAAAGCACATATTCTGCTTGACCATATTCTACATCCCTAATCTTACCCAGTATCTAAACTTAACAACTACCATATCAAATATTAATAAGCAGCAAATCAGGAGTTTGGGTAAAAGTTGAATTGGACCAAAGTGTAACGTGTTGAAGTGTGACCAAATCCAAGTCTGAAAATAGGTTTTACCAACTGATATGATGCCAGCTGTTTTCATCTTTAGAGCTGCATTTTGATGCACAGACAAATGTAAGAAGTGTGTTTTGTGAGTGTATGCTGCCTAATGTTGACCTTTTACTTTGGAAGAAATTCTTCAACAAGAATCTTGAGTCAGAGAGTCCTCAGAGAGTCCTGTTCTTCCTCTATTCCTATGGATCTCCACAAAGTGGTGGCCATTTTCTGCTGCCCTGCATATAATGGTTTCTGTCTTTACTCCACTGCTAAGCAATTGATTTAAGCCAGGGAGCTCCCTGACTAATCGGAGACAAAAGTTGAAAACAATGGTGGCCTTTGAGCGCTTTAATTGGATGCGTCTGACACATGGATTCCCCTCGAACCAAAGGACACATTTTGGAAACACTGCCAAGAAGTCAGCAGCCTCAGATAACCTCACTGCCGGGCTCAGTAACAGCCTGCTTACTTCACAGGCACTCTTCTCTACAGACGTTTGCATGATTTGAGTGCATACGTCTATCAGTTCAGTTCAGTTCACCTTTATTCATTTCCCGAAGGCAATTTGGTTGCAGCATACAAGACTCAATATGGCATCTGTAGAACATGCACATCAATGTTTTGTCCACATTTAATAACCTTAGTTTCAGCAAGCAATACAATCCTTGCTGCACCCTCTTACACAAAACATCAGTATTGGGAGAAAAGGACAATTTGTTATCCAAAACAGTACCCAAGTACTTGTACTGTTCAACACTCTCAATACCTACTCCATTAATGCTTGTTTGCTTATACTGAATTTCCTCCTAGAGTTAAAATCAATAGTCATCTCCTCAGTTTTAGAAACATTAAGTTTTAAGAAAGCATTTTGACACCACCTTATAAAATCATCAACCACAGGACCATACATGGAGTCCTCCTCACTCATTAAGCTAACGATTACAGAATCATCAGCAAATTTTATAACATGCCTATTTCTATAACTACTCTTACAGTCATTTATGTACAAGATAAATAATAAAGGAGAGAGGACACATCCTTGAGGTGACCCAGTATATGACACCAGCCATTAAGAAAAACAGTCATTTACTTTAACTCTCTGTGTTCTCTGCACAAGGAAATCTAAAATCCATCCTACGAGACTAAAATCCAACCCAAATTCATTAATGAGCTTCTCAACTAAAATATTAGTTCATTAGGCTTATCCAGATGCTGAAGTACTAAGTGTAAGAGAGTCACTACTGCATCCTCTACCCCTCGCTTAGGCCTATATGCAAATTGTCCTTTGCATAATTACTTTCTTAGCTAATTTTTCAAAACATTTCATCACTAGGGATGTAAACGCCACAGGTCTAAAATCATCCAATACCTGTACATTATGCTTTTTTGGCACTAGAATCACTGTAGACTGCTTCCACAGTGCAGGTACTTTTTGTTGTTGAAGGGACAGAGCAAAAATTTCATAAAATATTGGACCTAACTGCTCGGCACATTCCTTAAGTAACCTACCCCCTATATTATCAGGCCCAGGTGCCTTCCTTATTTTACACTGTTTAAAAACTGTTATCACATCGCTCACATTAAAAAAGACACAATCATACTCCCCGTTTATTCTATATTCAGTTTTTCAACCCATCGATTTCCTGTTTAAAATCATAAGCATCAAATCTTAAATAAAAATGATTAAAATCCTGTGACAAAACTGCATCTGCAAACTGGGATTCCCCTTCAGTCCGTCCGTTGCGGGCCCCCCTAAAGCGTGGGGCCTGGTGCGACCGCACCAGTTGCACCCCCCTAAGGACGGCCCTGTTCCATACATCCCTTTAAACTTAACGTTGCATCTTCAGACCAGTCCTTCATCTTAATTAACTGTGCCTTTTCACATTTCAAAACAGTTTTATATGTAGGAACAAGTAATACTGTATTGTGATCTGAAGTTCCTACAGGTGGTTTACCAAATGACTTGTAAGCTCCTTTAATCAATCCATAACACAAGTCTAAAATTTTATCCTTACGTGTTGGGCAAGTTACATACTGGTTGAAGTGTCCCAGTGATTTCTCCAATGTACAATTATTAAAATCTCCCAGAATAAAACTGGGTGCATCAGGAGATACAGATTGCAGTTCATGCACCACGCGTTCAATCTCCCTTGCTGCATTGTCCTTGTTTGCTCGGGGATGAATATAAACAACCGTGACAAACAGCTGAGGAAACTTGCGAGGCAAGTACTGAGGTCTTAATACCACCGTCAGCAACTCAATATCTTTCGTGCGCACTCTCTCCTTAACAGACACTGATTTGCACCAGTTCTCTCTAATATACAGACATACCCCACCTCCTTGCACTTTACCGGTTTCCCTCGCATCCCGGTCCATACGAACAGGTACTCCGAAGTCATCCAGTCGTTAACCCGAATATGAATCCACTTCGGAAAGCCAAGTCTCTGTGAGCGCCATCAAGCAAACATTCCTGTAGTCATGCTGGAATTTCACCATAGCGTTAAGATCATCCGTTTTTTTCCGTAGAGATTGCACTATGATCTTTTCACAGTGGACATTTCACAAGGACTTCAGAATACAAACTAAATTGAAATCTATTTGATTGTACTTGACCAGAACATTAGCCAATATTGAAATAGCTAGCAATAGATTATTAATAATGCTCATCGATAAAGTATGACCTTCCAGCTTTTGTAAAGCTGCATGTTTGCGTAGAACTTTAACAGGCAATATATTTCTGTCTTTTATTTGGTCTCTGCAATGAAAGCACTTTAACAATATGATATTTCCAGTAACCAAGTAGTAAGATGAAGAGGTTGCGTTTGAGATATCCACTTCAGTTTCTTAATTTAGGGAATACATTTGGTTAGAATCCAAGCTGGCTTAATTTATTGCTCTTCTCCATTTTTAATGTAATCTTTATTTGTGAGAGAAAAAAAAAAGATTTTTATAAAAAAAAAAAAGACTTTTTCTGAAGCCAACAATGTCTCAAATCTCTCTTGTGATTTGCTGCCTTTATATTTCACTGTATCTCTTTCTTTCTCTCAATTTCAGTTGTTGGTTGTCTCTGGAAGGAGGGCTGCTCTATGCTTTTGTCGGCCCCGCTGCTGTCATTGTACTGGTAGGTTTCAGACTTTCTGCATTTTCATTGGCTAGACTTAACCAACATGAGCTCCACCCACTTTAATATGCATTTTAAATATATCAAGCCAGCAGTCGAAGAGAAAAATCATGAATGAGATTAGAGTTGAGGCCTGCCTCATTTCAATGTGTGTATTTTTCATCAGTGTATATCATGTTAAAATGCATGAGTGAACATGATGAGCTTATTAGCCCAAAGCAACCAAAGTGTGTGTGTGTATATATATATCATCCACAGCCCAGGTCTCAGGTGCTGTGTGTTTTCTGTGAGGTGTTTGCGTTGTTTTTCATGGTCAGATGTGATTTGCGTTGTTTATTTCTTGGTGGTGCCGTGAAGCGGCCCACTCAAACAAACAACTGCAAATGAGATTTGGGCATCTGGAGATGCTGGCTCCCTCCTTGGAGAGGCTAATCTAATTAATGGAAAAATAATTAATCTTGCCTCTAGCAAATAATAAAACGGAGACCTATTGTCTAAGCTAGCGCCTCGCATGATGAGAATTCGAACGGCACTCGTAAACGTATTAGACTTGGTAGGTTGGATATGTGCTCAGAGCAGACTCAACAGGCTGAGTGTTAATTTAGTGCAGGGGTTTTCAACTGGGGGTCTGTTGTGGGTCCAGACAATTATTGTTTCATCTCAAACTATTTTTGGATAACGCTTGGGTAAAATATTGGTTAATAGAATAGCTAACATGAACTAACAATGAATAATACTTTTACAGTGTTTATTTATTTATTTCAACTCAAGATACATTTTTTTTTTTAATTTAGACAAATTAATACAAATTAAGGTTAATGTATTATGAACAAAATGCACTACCATTCAAACGTTTGGGGTCAGTAAGATATACAGTTGAGGTCAAAAGTTAACAAACTTTGCAGAATCTGCAAAATGTTAATTATTTAACCAAAATAAGAGAGATCATACAAAATGCGTGTTATTTTTCTTTAATACTGACCTGAATAGGATATTTCACATAAAAGACATTGCATTTATAAAAATTAACCCCATTCAAAAGTTTACATATGCTTGATTCTTAATAATGTGTTGTTATTTGAATGATCCACAACTGTGTTTTTTGTTTGTTTGTTTGTTTGTTTAGTGATAGTTGTTCATGAGTCCTTGTTTGTCCTGAACAGTTAAACTGCCTGCTGTTCTTCAGAACAATCCTTCAGGTCCCACAAATTATTTGGTTTTTTAGCATTTTTGTGTATTTGAACCCTTTCCAACAATGACTGTATGATTTTGAGATTCAAAACACTCACTGATGTTTCAGAAGAAAACACGATGCATTAAAAGCCGGAGGGTGAAAGCATTTTGAATTTGAAGATCAGGGTAAATTTTACTTATTTTGTCCTCTGGAAAACATGTAAGTATCGTCTGTAGCCTCTGAAGGGCAGTACTAAATGAAAAAATATATATATGTTTAGGCAAAAACGTCTTTTATGTGAAATATCTTATTCAGGTCAGTACTAAATAAACAACACATTTTGTATGATCCCTCTTATTTTGGTAAAATAATTATAATTTTTCAGATTCTGCAAGGTGTATGTAAACTTTTGACCTCAACTGTATATTGGTAATAATTGGAAATGTTTCTTGAGCACGAACTATTACAATGATATCTGAATGATAATGTGACACATTGTGATAATGTGAAGAATGAAGTAATGACTGCTAAAAATTCTAAATAAATTTTAAAATATTAAAATAGAAAATGGTTATTTTCAGTTGAAATACAATTTGATAATAAAGTGAAGTGAAGTGACGTGACGTGGCCAAGTATGGTAACCCATACTCGGAATTAGTGCTCTGCATTTATCCCATCCAAAGTGCACACACACACCGTGAACACACACCCGGAGCAGTGGGCAGCCATTTTTTGCTGCGGCGCCCGGGGAGCAGTTGGGGGTTCGGTGCCTTGCTCAAGGGCACCTCAGTCATGGTATTGAAGGTGGGAGAGAGCGCTGTACATTCATTCACCTTGGGTTACGAGTCTGACTCTCTAACCATTAGGCCACGACTTCCCCCCTAATATTACTCTTGCAGCCTTGGTGAGCATAAGAGACTTCTTTCAAAAACAGAGAAATAAAATCTTACCGATCCCAAACATTTAAATGATAGAGTATGGATAAATTATTTTAGATTTAGGATATAAATAGTTGTAAATTAACATGTTCATGATACATGCATTAAATAATGTTTATACATTAAAATGTATTATAGTGTTACCAATTTTTTTCTTAAAAATCAAAAATATTACCTAAAGAAACATGTCAGCTCTTTGTTCCACTTAAGCTTAGCAATGTAAGCATCATAACAACATGGTGCTAAATGATATTATGGGTTTCAAATCCAGATTTCCAATTCAAAAATTGTTTTTTTATATATATAATATGTAGCAAGGGGCCATTTATTTGAAATAGACTGCTGACCCCTACTTTAACAAAGTTGAATGCAGCTGCTGTAGTCACAGTTCATGCGTTGGTGCAGAGCAGTCAGCTGTCGCTTAACAGGAAGAGATTGTCAGTCTTGTGACCTACAACCATATGCCCTCCTGTTGTAATACAAGAGAAACAGTATAGGCTTGGCTCGAATCCTGTGTACCAAAGGTTCAGTAGCACGTGTGTGTGTGTGCGTCTGTATGTGTGTGTGTGTGTGTGTGTGCGTGCATGTGTGTGTGTGTGTGTGTGTTCTTTCCATGGCCTTTGTCTAAGCTCCTCTTCAGTGCTCTGTGTGTCCAGTGGGCAGCTGGCTAAAGCGGACTGGACAACAATCTGCTGAGCGAGAGAGAGGGGGTGAGAGACATGAGGGCATTACTGTTCCTTCATGATCCCACCTGCTCATTTGCTTCCAGACTTAAATCTACATCACCGGTCACAGGCTGTTAGAGAGCCACTGCTGTAAATGATCCAGGGTTAAATGTCACCACGCAACACTGCTTTATTGTCACACTACCCTGAGTGTATTTATATTAAATTCTGACCAAATGTACTAAATTATTTTATTCCACTTAGATGTTGCAGCTATCTATCTATCTATCTATCTATCTATCTATCTATCTATCTATCTATCTATCTATCTATCTGTCTATCTGTCTGTCTGTCTGTCTGTCTGTCTGTCTTTCGTTCTGTCATTCTATGTTTTATCATTGTAATGTTGCATTGTGTAGCACTCTCTATCATTCCATCTCGTTTTATCAATCTATCTATCTATCTATCTATCTATCTATCTATCTATCTATCTATCTATCTATCTATCGTTCTTTCTCATTCTAGCATTCTGTCTATCCATCCATCATTCTGTTGATCTGTTGTATCTGTCTATCTATCATCTATGAGTCTATAACCCTTTAAACTTCAAAGCTTTTAAAACTTTTTTCCAGACTTTCAAAGTTAACAGACTTTTAATTTCTAGTTAAAAGTACAGCTTTGTGAATTTCAGTGAATTTCAATTATCTTTCATGACATTCAGATTAGAATTGCAATTCTGCATCTGGTTGCTACTTAAATTCAAATAGAATTAGAGAGTTTAATTCAAATTTAAAAGGCATCCTTGATTCAGTTCTGAATGGAGCAAAACCCTGTTGCTAACAAACAACACTGCTCTCACCACAATAATTATGATGGTTCTATTTTACAGGCTAAATAAGATCCTGACTTGAAATAACCAGCATAATCTAACATAAAAAAAAAAAAACTTCTAACAAAGCAAATAACACACCCTCTATCTCTTTCCCGCAGGTGAACATGCTGATTGGGATAGTGGTCTTCAACAAGCTCATGTCTAGAGATGGCATCTCAGACAAGTCCAAAAAGCAGAGAGCAGGGTAAGTGAAGGTCAAAGTAATGGCTATATGATACCCATCTATTTCTGGATTTGCACCAAGTCACTTATTTACCACTGGCCTGTTGATGGTTTTAAAATATCCTGTCAAGTATTTGTATGGGCAAAATAAATTACCCATGCTCTCTCTCTCTCTCTCTTTCTCTCTCTCTCTCTCTCTCACACACACACACACACACACACACACACACACACACACACACACAACCACTAAAAGTTGAAAAACATCAGACTGAAAGCCAAGATATGACAGCTTCATTAATGGACTTGTATTGATTTGCTGGCCTGCTGACCTCAGGCTAGTCCTCTGATAGCTCTGTCATTTGCTAAGTGTATATTCATTGTTCATGTAACTGCATATACTGACAGGATCAAGGAGCCCTTGTGCTTTTAAAACGCTTGTTCTGTTTTGCTTTGTTGGATTGGACACAAAGCAGAGTGATCCATTAAACACTTGTGTTAATGAGTATACCGCTACATCCCTCACCTCAAACAAGAGGCTAAATCGCGAGAGAGATTGGATATTCCCATTCCGCTCCATGAATCCGCTACCTGGTAACTTCAAGAGCATTCTCACAGCCCTTCGTCTTTAATTAAACTAACGCTGCATCAGAAACCCCCATTTTTAAGCAAAGATAAGAGCTTTACATTGTTTAAAATGAGCTCACGGTTCAACTGCTGTCAAGCCTATTGTCATGCATGGACATGTTTTCGCTAGTTCTATACTGAAGGCATGAGAACAGCCTTAATGCTCGCAGTGCAACTGAATTAGTGCAACTAATAGCTACCAATAGCCTCTCCGCATTGAGTGTACACTGTACAAATGTCATTTAGATATATGGCATTGGTGGACCACCATACCGACGTCTTGTCAGGAAAATGTGGGTCTTACTAATTGAATGAGGAGCTAATCAGAGATCTGAGCTAATCCAATGACTGGATATTTGTAATCCCTCCAGGGAAGCGTACGTTCTGCAATTTTGCCCTAATTGATTTGTCTTTTTTCCACTTTTCTTTTCCTGTAATGTTTATGTACAAGGGAGATAAGTGTATATTGGGAGCTGCAATGGTTAACTATGGATTTTTAAGATAGTGGCTTTGATATAAAAATGTCCTAGAGTTTAAATTCAATTGGACTCATTTTCATATTCACACACTCTCTCATGCTGTCTTTCACATACAGTGAATATGCTGTTGCAATCATTTTTTAGTTCAGCAAGCATCACTGTTCATTGCTCATATTTACAGTAGGTTTTAGGGGTTTGCTGTCAGTCCTTAATCCCAAATATTACAATTTACAGCTTAACTCTTTATGTTTTGTGCATGAATGTTACCTCAAAATATCCAACTAATTGAGAGGGGGTGCTTTTACTTTTTAAAGCAACCTGACTACACCTGGTGGGCGATAAAATAAACCTCAAGGAGGGACCCAAGCCATATCTAGAGACCGCAGTATCAGATAATTGGTAGTGGGCCAGTAAGCAACCGCATTGCAATGCATTAAAACCACTCAGAAACCTTAGCAAGAAACCTTAATCATATTTTAAGAAACCTTAGTCATATTTTATTCACAATCCTTTATTATTGTGGTGGACATATTTCCTAAACAGTCTTTTTTAGTAAATGAAATACTAAACTAAATTTAGCATCATGCTTTCTGTGTTTTAAGGCTGTGTGTGTAAATGAAACACAAGTCCACTGTTGTAATAAGCTGTTTCTTCTCTTCACTGTAAAAAGTAATTAGTTGAACTTACTTGGAAAACCTGTGGAAACTGATTGCCTCAAATTTCTCAAGCAAATCAGTTTATCATTTTTGAGTTAATAAAACTTACTGTAACTTTGTATAGGTAACTTGTGTGTATGTATAGGTTACCAGAAAACTTGAGTGTTGCTAACTCAATTTGACAAGTTCAGCCAACTTAGAGATGTAAGTTAAGCTTAGTGCACAGAACTCAAACAAAACAGTTCTCTTAACAAGTCTGCTTTGTTCACATTACTAGACAAATGTGTGGAAACAGATTGCCTTAAATTTCTCAAGTAAGCTGTACTCAAAACTTAAAGTTGTTAATACAAAGACAGAAAACAGATTGTTAGCACAACAATAGGGCATTTATTTGTTTAAAACAATGTTACTTCAAGTCATTATTTTTTAGGCATGCTATCAAATCAACAGTTAACACTAAGAAAAATTGCACATACTGCACTCAGGAAATAAATAAAATAAAAAAAAACATCAACATCCCTTTTATGACACCTTGTAAATATAGATTTACCATTTTCTAGAATTACCTTTTTCTAAATCAATAATGATCAATCATCAACAATTACACTGAAAAATGCTCCATCACACCACAATGACATCTTTCTACATCAGAAGATTTTTCAGAAATTGCATTCTAGGTTCAGCCATTGAATGAAATCAAAGGTGTACTTCAGTACTGGAGGATACTATAATTTCATAGCATAAATCCAAGTCCAAAGAGCAAGCATATCTTGGGGAGGATTTTCCAGATCATCCAATACAATTGTACCTTCCAAAATGATTGCAGTAGACATGGCATTAAATGCAGTGAGTTAGGTATGGCTCTAGAATCCTCAGCTCAGGGATCATGGTCAATAGGCCGACTGACATCTCTTCTTCATCATAGTCCTAGAAACAAAAATACAATATGACAAAAGATCACCAAAAACTTACCTAATCTTGCGGCCACATTTCAAACACGTTCTGACTCTGAAGTTCAGTTCGTTGTCTTCTTCTGGTGATGTTTTGTTTAAACCAACCTTCCGCCACCTATTGGTGCACTTCCACCACCTACTGGTCTAGAGTTATTAGGGCGTATAGTGGGATTTAATCCAACAAACTAGATGCTCTTAAGTACTGTTTACTAAAGTTGTTTAGTTTAACTATTGCATCCACCTGAAAGTTCACATAACACAGTGTAATTAAGTAAATTCAACAAATTTGTAAAAATCAGTTATGTTTACTCTCTTTTCTTAAGTAGATTCAATGATTACTTTTTACAGTGTTCGTTGCTGATCCCGAGTGCCCCTCATTTCCAAATGTCTGATGTTCAGAGCACTTTCTCCAAGTCTGTGACATAAGGCTGTCTTTTGTTTCCTTTACACTTTCAATCAGCATCTCAGAACACACACTAAATTCAAACCAAATGGGATAAAGTATATGTATGTTTTTATTTTTTACGATTTTGGAGCTCCATACAGTTAAGCTAGTTGAATTAACTGTCGAGTTTGAGTCAAGTGTAGGATGTCTGTTCAGTAAATCCATAAAGCACTGGACAAATTAATTAAATTTAACCAAAAGAAAATGTATGTCTTCAATTCTAATTTCTTATTATTATCAATGTTGAAGTGCTGGGGTCTGTTCTTCATACCTCGATAATTTGGTTCTTCAAACAAGTTAGCAGATTAGATTAAAATGTCTGGATTACGTTGTCTAAAATTACTTTCTGTTGTCATGTTCATTGAAAAGGGCAGATATATCCATACTTGAAACCATGATCAGCAATGCAGTGATTGGCTGGCAATCACGTAATGACAGAAATGTAATGACATCATATAATTAAGTTTCTTAATCCATAAAATCAATCTTAAAACATAACTGACTGTGTTTAAATCAATTGTGCCTCATAAAATTATTTTGAGATTTGAGAAGTGGCTGCATCTCATGCGATGTATCAATTCTCCCGCATTAAAGCTCACCTTTCAAATTAATGCACAACTCAGACAAACTGTATGGAATGTGCATATGACTACAATAAAATTATGAGATAATTATTCCTTACTGAATAAATATCTCAATTAATAAAACTGGTTGTGTCTATTATTATGGATTACACAGATAGCTATAGATAGCAGCTTAACATTTTGGTGGAAACCATGATAATTTTTTTTCTCCTCAGGATTCTTTGATGAATAGAAAGTTCAAAAGAACAGCATTCATGTGAAATAGAATTTTATTTATTTCTTTTTATTATTATTTTTGTAACAATGTAGAATGTAAAGTCTTAATTTTGTCCTTAAAACAAGAATAATTTTCCCAGGACGTAAAACTGCATAAGAATTTCCCAAGACATCAATATTTTCTAAGAATATATCATGAATATAGGTGTAATGTGTCTTTTTCCATTTCAGTTGGGTTTAGCATAAATCTCACTTAATTTAAACATTTTTTTCACTTAAAACAAAGTGGAAAAATCTCCCAATGACACAAGACAAAATACATTTGTATTCACATATTCACACATACATAATCCATTTTTCCTGATTGGAAAAGTATTCAATGTCCTTTACATTATTAGTGCCACTTTTACATGGCAGACTCTTATTTATAAAGCTGAGGGGGATTGTAACAGGGTTCATTAAAAACTGAACTTCCTGGTTAATGACCTGAGGGCTACCAACCTGGACGTGCTGATCTGCTTTCGAACAATGCTTACACAAATCAGGGGGTCACGGGTGGTATCAGGTGTGTGTGTGTGTGTGTGTGTGTGTCAACAACGAGTTACTATTCTTCTCTCCGCAGCAGCCTTTCTCCTGTTTTCACACACAAATATTCCTCTTAATACACACACACTTCACTGAGCAGCTGAAGTAGGTTAGTCTTTGCAGCTCCCATCTGCCTCATCTGCTGATTGTTAATGATCTGTGGTCGCATTCTACTGTGTTTCTCTCCATTTTCTCATATTCCTGCCATCATTGTCTCTCTCTCGCTCACACACACGCAAGCTACTTTCACGCTGTGACATTCATTACAGATCTCACTCTGTCGTTGCTGTTGTTCATTGCTTGATGCTGTTTTCTTGGCATTACTTTAATTTTCTCTTTCTCTTTCTTTTTCCTCTCTATATTGTGTTCCCTTTCCTTATGTACGTGTTTTGTCGTCATTATTCCATTCTCAATTCCCCTACATCCTACATTCAAACCTTTTACCTTTGTGCCGTTTGTGTGTATTGGCATGAATGTGTGTGGATGGATATTTATGAGTTTGTTTTTTAAAATATATTCCTCCCTACCTCCCTGCTTCTGTGTGTCATGTCTCTTTCCCGTATGAATATATGTGTGTGTGTGTGTGTGTGTGTGTGTGTGTGTGTGTGTGTGTGTGTGTGTGTGTGTGTGTGTTGGGTCCTGAAGTCCGCCGTTGGAAGCGCGTAGCAGGCTGCTCCTGAAATGCTCCAAGTGCGGCGTGATCTCCAGTACCGCCCTGTCCAGCTCTACCACCAGCAACGCCATGTTAGTCTCATTCCATATTCTCTCTTTGTCTCTTTCTTTCTCTCTCCATTTCTTTCTTTTCTCTCTCTTTCTCTCTCTAGAGCCCAACACTGACAGTAAGAAACAGAAACTCTTCAAAGAGCCGCCCTCCTGTCTGCACACTACATCGTTTTCTTAAATCTTTGCTGAAAACTGCCCTCAAAGAAGATCGTTTAAGGCATTACAGTATTGCAAATCATTAAAAACATATTGCAAAAGTGGCTTTGGAAGTCGTTATATTGTTTATTTGTCAAATATAAGCGTACAGAAACCACAATTCAGTGCAATATATTTTGTAGTCGAGTTATAAAAGTGTCCAAGACAGACTTAGGGGCCATTCACACAGAACACTGTTTTGCTTTGAACAATGTAAGACGTGGGCGGTGGAAGGGGGAAAAACACAAGGTCTCAAAATGCGTTCTTTTTTTAAAGTGTAACTTTTTTTAATTTGAGCGTTTTTAGGACACCGTGTCATACGCATGATGCAAACACAGTGATCAAAGATGTCTGTCTAGCACGTGTTTGCATAGAAAAAAAGTTTCCCAGTGGAATAGAAAAACATGTTCTGTGTGAACTAGCCCGTAGGGGCCATTTATTTTTTCCTTTGTTTTATTTATTTATTATTTTTTTGTTATTTACATATGCCAGTGTACATCTTTGCACTTATACAATCCTTAAAGTATTTTTGTATAATTATATAAGATATTAAGACTTGTTTCTAGAAAATGTATCTTTGATACAAGTGTTGTTGTTGTTGTTATTTTTTTATTATTGTTACTGTTTTTTGACACACGGGCAAATTATTTTACAATTCTTGTGTTAAATATTAAAAACTGCCACTGCAGTAAGACAAAATACACTTACTAAAAGTCGTAATATCTTGTTTTGTATCTTATTTCAATGATTTTAAAATACTTAAACTCTAAAATTAGACAAAATAGTCATAACAGGATTTTTTTAAATTGTTTTTTTTTTTTTTTTTTTGCAAAAACATGGAGGTGGTACATCTACCAAATTGCTCTAATGATTGGAAAACCTATGAAAAATGGAAAAACATGTAATGTTATTAAATATTAATTATATTTTTATATATCATTAATTAAATTCATAAAATTGTATTATTTTAAATGTAATTATTTGTATTAACTAAAAGGAATATGTTAAATTGACAGCCATTTCGAAAACACAAATACATGCACACACAAACATGGAGGATTGTGCTCTTTGAAGAGGTAAAGAACCAGATTGTGGATCAAGGGCCACCTCTGATTCTTTTGGCTTTGGATAAATTGGACTCATCTCTGCTATTTGCTGGAGGGAGTCATGTTATTGAAATGATAATGAAATGAATGATATCGCTTCTCTGTTCCTCTTTCTCTTTGTCATTTTTTGTTCCTCATCTCGTCCTTGCTGTCTGCTTTTTTCTGTCTCCGCTATCCGAGTATAAATATGGGGCATGTGTGTGTGGTGCCACTTAACAACGTCCATTCATTGAAATGAATGAAGAGGACTTCCTAAAGGAAGTTTGGAGGACCATGCTCGCATCATCCCACCGATTACCTCATTTTCTTTGATGTCGGCGTTCCTGCTCCATCCCAACCCCACGCTCTTTCTCCACAGTTAGTTAGGGGAGGACATTGAATTTGAGTCATGCTGTTTCACATTTACCAACTCAATCTTGTCCTCCTTTTTCTGCATTGTTCTTATATGAGCATGAGAACTCATGCTGAAGATTTGCATAGAAGCAAATCTCTTTCTCTGTCTCATTGCTAATGTCCGTCTCATCGCAGTCATATGCAGGAGACTGAGTCAGTGCAGCGTGAAGATGTTAAACTGATGCCCAGCTGTAGTGAGCCCTTGCTTGGCTGAGCTCAGGCGGACAGTCCTTACTGACACCTGATATTTATCTAAATAGGCTCTGCGTGATGAAGAACCAAAACACTCCAGTAGGATTAGCAACATGTTGGAAATTCATCAGGGCATGTTAGCATGAGCGCTCAGCATTATGAACAGCAATTATTTGCCTGTTTTGCAAACAAACTGAGAGTGTGTCCTAACTGGATTGACTATGTATCTGTTCATTGCAGGGAAAAATATTATTATTATTATTATTTATTATTATTATTATTATTATTATTGTTGTTGTTGTTGTCTTTTGCATGATCACGTTGTCATTCCCTTATGAAAATGGTCCACTTTCTATCTGAAATAAATAAACACAAAATATTACAATTTGAAAATCTGCTACATATAATGGAAATGTAAATGCAAACTATTTTTAAAAGGTTTTTATAAGTGTTGACATTTTAACTTAGTATATTAATTCAATATACTATGAATAAAATATAAAACAGCAATAAATGGACAAACATGTTATATCATAATCATAATATTATTATGATTTTATTAATTTATGGGATACATTTACCCCCGGTTTCACAGACACGGATTAAGGCTAGTTGCAAATTAAAAAGCATGTCTGAGATGTCTCAACTGAAATTATCTTGCTCTGACATATGTCTTAAAAAATGCCTTTATTTTTCAAAAGTTCTTTTGAACTCTCTATCTAAAATAAATAAATACTTTTTTTTTTTTAATTTGGAAATCTGCTACATATGACGGAAACTTTGGTAGCTGCAATTTTTCTTTACTTTTTTGTAAGGGATTCTAAATTATACTCTTTCAATACCCTTTATGTTGCATACATCAAATGTAGCAATCACTAGGTCTGTGATATCAGGTTTCTAATTACTGTGACTCTAATGACTCATTAAGTATATTGTACATTTGCGCTGTATTGATACTCAGTTAAATGCCTATGGTGCAGAGCTGGTTTCCAAACCTCATCAACACCCCCATAACTCAACTCTAATCGTGATAATATCTGATGGCTAATGATTCCAGGTGCAGTGATGTCGCCACCTTGCTGCATGGAGGATGAACTGCATTTTGCTCTGTGTCCTCTCTGCACAGGGCGTCGTTATGGAGCTCTTGTGTGGTTCTCCCTCTGTTGGCACTCACGTGGATGTCAGCTGTGCTGGCCATCACAGACCGCCGATCAACCCTCTTCCAGGTGCTCTTTGCTGTCTTTGACTCAGTCCAGGGATTCGTCATCATCACTGTGCACTGTGCCATGCGCCGAGAGGTCAGTGGGCAACAGCAATGATGCAGCTGGCAATGATCCAGTTATCTGTGTAGAAATTATAACAAGAGTCACAATTATAAAAGATGAAGTTATTAATAAGTTAAGTGTTTTGCTGGGTCAGAATAGTCTTTGGTGGGTAACTTGTGTACAGGGTCCCCCACAAGGAAAAAGTAGCCTGCTAACAACTTCCACAGGTAAATAGAATATGGGTGTAGAGTTACTTAGTCAGTCAGTTAGTTAGTTATTAATAATAATTTATTTATTCTTTATACTTATTTTTAGGCTTAAATGCAAAATGTTTTTTAGAGTATTAATGTAATATACTATTGTTTGTTCTATGATTTAATATTGATTCTAATTTATGATTATAACTATGATTATAATTTACAGATTGTTATTGATATTCCGCTAGTCAACAATGCCAATTATATACATACATATATATATATATATATATATATATATATATATATATATATAAACATTTTGTGTTATACATGTTGTTTTTGAAAGTCGGTGCTTGAAATAGGCAAAAGCTTTTTATTTAATAGATTTTTATTGATGACTGCAGTGTTAATATTTTCATTGTAGACCTATAATTCATAATAGTACTCTGGTCTTTCAAAATAGACCTGTTTTAAAATACTTTTTAAACATTAAAAACATACTGTTTTTTTACATTTGAGTTGAGGAGTAAATAACCTAATCTTTTATTATCCTCGCCTCTCGCCTGCACGTCAGTTATTTGGTAATTATTGCGGGGCAAATTAATGGCAATTTTAATTTAATAATAAAAGTAACTTCATAATAATAATAATAAAAATAAAAATGTAACAGGCCTACATTAATTGGAAATGCCAAATATCTTAATATTGCCAACAATTGTTTTTTTGACAATAGGTCTGGCTATCGTCGATACAAGATCATCGTCTTTCGACACAACCCAGCAAGGGGAGATTATCAGTGGGCAGACAGAACGTTGCCTGTTACGTCATTTGGGCTGCCTTGTTGAGCGCAGTGGCACTGGGAATCATTATATTTCACAAACTTTAAGCTGTTTTATTTTCCAAAGGTAATAGGATTAGTCCAACAAATCGAATCATTCGGTTTGTAATGCGTACTGAACCGAAGGCCTCGTACCAAATGGTTCAATACGAATACGTGTATCGCTACACCCCTAATATAAATATATATATATATATATATATATATATATATATATATATATATATATATATATATATATATATATATTCGGTCAATTAATTATTAAAAACTGATTAAATTTGTCTCATCACTCTGAAATGTTCATGGAAGTCAGAGCAAGGCAATGGTCACATTAAAATACTTAGTAAAAATATAAGAAGGTATTGTATACCTAATAAATAAGTATTTACATACATATATATTTTTTTATTTATTAGGGGTGTAACGGTACACAAACATGACTGTTCGGTACATACCTCGGTTTTGATGTCACTGTTTGGTGTGGTTTTGGTACAGCAGGATGAAAAAACTAAACATAAATTGCTTTTTTTAATTTAACAATAGTTTACTGAAAGAATTGCTCTTTCTTTAAATAAATTCAAGTATTATTACATTTTTCTTAGGGATAAAAATCTATCTGAGCTTCTGCTCTAAACTATAGGGAGCCCGTCTATAAGGTTACAATTAACAACAGCGCCCAAACTTAAATTCTGTTACTATTTCTTTTTAACTATAATAATCAACACTCAAATTAACAAATTGTATGCAAACATGTAAATTGTTTTTAAATTATACAATTTCTATTTGTTGTTGAAATATAATAATTTACAGCGTCATAACTTGTTTCATAAAATATGTATTTAAACATATACATTAAATAATTAAGACATCACTAACAGGTAAAGTAAATATAATGAAGTATAGTCCAATATTTCGCAAAATGCTCTTCACTAGACAACTTCACATTTCTCTAGCAAATAATGAGCTGTAGACACTGATGACTTTCCTGAGGTAAATGAAATTCGACGTGACATTTTGTTTAGAATCTGTTTAAATGACATCTTTCCTCAGTTGAAACAATAACTGAGCGATTATGTGAGGGGTGAGATGTTCATTCATGTATATTTCACGTTAAAACTAGTAATAAAGATGAAGAGATGATCACGCTCACTCGCGCTCCGCTCTGCCGTTAGAACTGATGCGTTAGTATAATACAGCGATATGTCGCGCCACATCAAAGATCGTCAAAACGCCATTTATTGTCTGAATTTCCTGAAAGAATTGAAAGATTTTTTCGTACTGAACCGAAAGACCCGTACCGAAAATGTTTGGTACGAATACGTGTACCGTTACACCCCTAATATATATTTCATTATTTTTTAAATAATTCCCAAGTGCTCTTTAACAGAAAGAAGATTTTTTTCCAACACAGCATTTCTAAACATAATAGTTTATTAAGGAAGCTTGGAATGTTTGTAATATAAATAGAAACAAAATTATAACCAAGAATAAAAAAGTCTACAGCCCAAAATAATTAGCCCTCTGATGTTAATAGTCAATGGTGTATCCCTTTTGTTTGATAACAGCCTTTAGTTGTTTGTTGTAGTTCTCAACAAGTTTCAGGCATGTCTCCTGAGAAGTTGCCGCCCATTCCTCCTTAGCAAATCTCTCAAGCTCCTCCAGATTTGTTGGTCTCCTGGAATGGACTCTGGTCTTCAGTGTGCCCCACATATTTTCTATTGGATTCAAGTCTGGGCTTTGTGCAGGCCAGTCATTCACTTTGCTCATTTGGAGGTAGTTCTACACCAGAAATGAGATATGCTTTGAGTCGCTATCATGCTGGAAGACAAAACGTCGACCCAAACCATCTTTGGTTGCAGATTGCCTGAGGATGTCTTTTAAAATCTTCTCGTAGCCTTCCTTTTTCATGATTCCTTTGACCCTGACGAGATTCCCAGTTCCAAACGCACTGAAACATCCCCACAGCATTACTGTGCTGCCATGCCATGTTTCACTCTGGAGACGGAGTTCTTTGGGTTGAGCACCTGTCCCTTCATACTCCAAACATAGGCAACATCTCTATGGCCAAAGAGCTCTACTTTTGTCTCATCTGACCAAAGGACATGTTTCTAGTATACATAGTTTTTCTCCAGGTTGTCCTTCAAACTTCAGTCTAGCTTGGAGGTGTCTCTTTTTCAGAACAGGAGTTTTTCTTGGTCGGCAACCTCGCAGTCCATTCCTGTCCGGGCCTCTAGTGTCCGTCTTCATTGAGATATCAATCCCAGATTTACTAAATCATTCACTAGTGTCTTGGCAGTTGTTCTTGGGCCTTTAGAAACCTCTCTCAATAGTATTCTTTACAAAGTTTTTGAAATCGTTCGCTTCCTGCCTTTGTTGTCCACTGTGTGGGTCTCTTCAAACTTCTTGATAATACTTCTCACGACTGTTCTTGACACATGAAACTGCTTTGATAAACGTGTATATGCTTCTCCTCCTTTGTGAGCATTAACAATTATTTTTCTCTAGTCTAAACTTTTTTTTTTGTCTTTGCCATAATGACAGTACATATAATTTTACTAGTTGTTTTGAAAGACACTAATCTTTAGTTTACAGTGTAATTTAAAGGCTTAGAGGATTAATCAATGTTAATTAGGCAAGTTAGGTTAGTTAGGCAAGTCATTGAACAACAGTGGTTTGTTCCGTAGCCAATCAAACAGATAACTTCTTAAGAGGGCTAATGATATTGACCTTATAGCAATTTTTTTATTATTATTTTGTAAAAATATATGAAAAATATAATAAGAAATACTGTGTTAAAATTCCCTTGTTAAATATCACTTGGGAAATATCTGAAAAAGAACTGAAATTTCATAGGGGGGCTAATAATTTTGTCTTCAACTGTATATATATATATATATATATATATATATATATAGAGAGAGAGAGAGAGAGAGAGAGAGAGAGAGAGAGAGAGAGTTTGATAAACCATGGCTTAGAAAACCTCAGTCTTCATCACAATATTATGTGCGTGTGATTGGCCATAACAATATAATAAATAAAAGTTTCACTGTTATACTGCCAATCTTAGAGGACAGTCAGAGGTGTATTTAAATGGAGATTGGAGGAGGAATTTTATTTGAGTCCATTTTAAGGCGCACTTAGGAATAAAACTTGGCTTGGACCGCTGACGCAATCAATTTTTGGAAATAGCATGCACTGCTTTCACGTAATAATGGGTTGGTTTGACCGGCCATAAATAAATCAACTGATGGATCAAACTGTAGTCACATTGTAGTGGGTCTGTAGCCTAGATGTGACAGTTTCAACTCTCCAGCATGTACTGAATCTTGGCTGACTTTCACGTACCAGGTAAATCAAAATATGCTGCTGGAGTTTAAGGAGGGAGAGAAAAAATCAGTTCTAAATCGCTAAGCCATATATGTTAAATCAATATCGCAAAACCGAAGGATTAGAGTAAAATAAATCCTGGTATTATTTTAGTAAATATATGAAAATCCCTGGCAAGGCTTTGATGTAATCCTTAATAGCTTTAGCAAAAGAAGAGAGTGGAGAGTAGTTTGTGCACCGGATCCTTGCGCTATATGCAGTTTGATGTGCAAAGTACACTTTGAAATGGAAGAGCCAACAATGGAAAGGCAGCATTCATGATTAGCACAGGCAAATGAGTGGATGATGTTTGTGGGAATAGTTTGTTCTCATGCATTTATGAAGATAGAGAGAGCCTAGAAGGCATGCCATCGGGTGTCATTCTGATACGTCTACAGCTTTGACTCGGCAGACAGTCATCCATAAACAAGCTCTGAGAATGAGACCGTCTCCCGCTCTCTCTTGCGAAACAGCCTAGCCTTTCTGCACATCGTAATTTTAGCTGTGGGGAGGGGAGCAGACTGATTACAGATTCTGGTCTAGGCCGGTGAATAGTGTTGCAGCATGATAACTCATGCTCAGTTGAATAGAAAGAGAAGGGATTTACTAAATAGTGCAGAGAATGTGCAGTCGATAAATAAAGTGTTCCACTTCCAACAGAATATGCTTGATGCTATTCGGAGGACGCAAGTAGATTAAAGTGTCATTTGTTCAGCGCGTAACCTTTGCAAACCATAAAGGTCGTGGCAGATCAATCACTTGGGTACAACATGTTGTAGAATTAACGTGTCTCAAATGTGCCTCCAGTGAACAATTGTGATGGGATTTTGAGATCAAGCAAAATACATTAAAAAGAGGAATATTGTGAAATATTATGAATATTTTAAATGACTATTGTTTTCAATTTTAATATGTTTTAAAATTAAAATGTAATTTAAGCGGAATTTCCAGCAGCCATTATTCCAGTCTTCAGTATCACATGATCCTTCAGAAATCATTCTAATATGCTAATTTGGTGCAATAAAGAAATATTTCTTACAAACAGCATGTATTTGAAATAGAAATATCATTATATCATATATATATATTATATCATATGATAAATGTCTTTGCTATCACTTTGCCTATCACAGAATGCCCCAGTGACAAGCTGTTGTACCCCTAAATGTAAAATGTTTGCACTTTTTCGATCAATCAGTCTGTGTCAATACAGCATTTGAGCAATTTCTAAGATGTCTATTTACACCTGTATTTAGCTCTGTCCTCATGTGAATGTGCGGCCTTTGCTGTGCATCCAGACAGTCTAAGAAAATCTCGGTCATTATCTGTTATGTTCTTTGTTGGCATAAAAATACCTCTGATCTTCCCAATTAGGAAACACTGTGCTTTCACTTGGTCATTCCGTAGGCGTTTTTGGCCATAAATCTGTATGCAAATTAGTGTCATCCCGTTGCTAAGGCTACACTGTCGTCAGGGGAAACAGCCTATCACGTTGTCTTTTTTTTTATTAAAGGGAGTGTCTTCCTCCCTATTGTTGTAGAGCATGTGTGTCTGCAGTTATGTAAACTCCTCCTGCGGAAATGCAAACAGGCTCACTGCAATGTTTTTCACTCAGGAATATAAACTAATATCAAAGTATTATGAGAAATCACGTACAGACGCCCTCTGTAGATTACTAAAATAACTAGATTAAACCGATAGATTCTCTTGAGTATATAGAAGCTGCTAGTGTCTTTAGGATATTTGCTATCATCATTAGTTTCATGTTGGCATCAACACAGGATGGACATTCACCCCTCCTTTTCTTTTTTTTTTCCTAATAATGATGTAACAGTCTTAAGAATCACTAACAGTCTACATGTTTTACAGTGATTGAGTATAATGATTAAAAAATCTAGAACCAAAATGACAGATAGTAAAAATATTTTAAGGATTTAATACTTATTTTAAAATGTTTTAGTCTGCAGTTTAGGACACTCTCACTCTTGCTTTATCTTCTCGGATCTGTGTTGACAACATTACTGTTTTCTTTTCTTTGTATTCCCTCTGTCGGAACTCTCTTTTGACTTGCTCTTTGACCACACAATACCTAATTGTCTGCGATTTTTCAGAAACCGAGAGAGGCTGACAACCTTAACATTAGTGATTGACACCAGCAAAGTACACGCTTGACGGACAACTGTCGACTGTGGTTCCATTCATGTAGCACATACTAACCGTACTCACTTTAAAAATTCAGTTGCGCCTCCTGAAATTTTAAGGGTTTGCTTTTGTTATAGAATATGGTTGATGCTCTCTTTCATACCTGAGCTGTGTATGAACACAAACAGGACTGACAACCATATTCTGCTGCAGTTCTGAACAGCCCTAGAAAGGCTTGAAATGATAATGTTTTGGTATTTGTTCGTTTGCTTTTTTATTATTATTCCATGGATTTAGATTTAATTTAAGATCTCTGCGAGTCACCCTGGTTGTATCCCATGTCTTCCCAACTCAGGTACAGGATGCAGTGCGCTGCAGGATGGGTGGGTGCAAAGATGACAGTGAAAACTCTCCGGACTCCTGCAAGAACGGCCAGGTGCAGATCATGGTGAATAGCATTCCATTCCATCTCATCTCACATGGGACTCTCAGAGGGTCGGCTTCTCCACTTTTAAACATCACGGGCTACTGGGCGATTGTGTTTCAAATAGGATTTGTTTTGTAAATCGGAGCAGGTGACTATTCTGGAGTAGGTTGATAGTTAAAGCTCCCATCTATGTCTTGTTTCCTTTAGGAAAGTCATTTTGTGCAATTTCTAGTATTTAGATGAAAGTTATACAATCTGTGTTCAGAGACTTAAAGGGCGCTTATTATGCAAAATTCACTTTTACATGTTGTTTGAACATAAACATAACATGTGTTGGCAGTGTGTGTACACAACCACCCTATAATCATAAAAATGTTTTAATCCCCATAAATCATAAGCAGTGTCTCAAAACAAGCCGTTCGCAGAATCTGTAAAATGTCACATCACATTTTACAAGCCCCGCCTACGACTGTTGACAGACACTGCTGTATTAGTAGAGACCCCACCTTGAGTGAGCGGCACACAATCCGCCATGTTTATCTTCACGTTAGAGCATTTAAAGAAAACTTTTTTTCATTTTATTAAATCTATAGATGTTTTCAGTTCAGTTTTTTATTTTATTGTTTGGGTCGTATTAACATCGTAGACAGCAGGATAGATACTGTATATTATGCTGCTGTCACTTAATACCAGTGGTGGAAAGAGTACTGAAAATGTGTACTTAAGTACAAGTACTGTTACATTGCTGAAATAATACTCAATTACAAGTAAAAGTACTGGTGCCAAAACAGTACTTAAGTAAAAGTACAAAGTACTCCTCTCAAAAACTACTCAGAGTACTAGTTACTAGTTACTTTTTAGCTGGCGATATTTAATGAATTACCAAACAATATTCATTCATATCAAAGATCTATGTGGATAATAGCTACTTTGAACAAAACCCACTTTTATCTTATTGACAAAGTATGTGAATTAGTGGTCATGATACAGGAATTACTAACTTCAGTACCTTGAAAAATATAAATATCAAAGTACCCGTGAACCGGAAGTTGCAACTGACTTCAGTGTTGCGTTCCAAGTGAAACAGAATATTGAATAAAGGGCAGGGTTTTATTGTGGTGCAGCTCCACTCCACCTCTTGCTCATATTCACGGTTGGATAGGAGTGTTTAAGAATATCTGCTTGTTACATCTGACATCATGCTTCACCGCATGGGTCCTAACGCTCTGCCAGACACCCCCCAAAAAACAACAAACTGTGCATACACACACTTATGATGTCATGTAATACTGAAAAATTATAACCCTAACCTTTATCTCCATACTGAAATCCCAGATAGTCTGACAGTGATTCAGCTAAAATATAGTGTCTGAGACACTGTGAGCACGGAGACTGTAGTGTGCACAGCACATTTTTAAATGCTTAGCTTAAATATGTAATATTAATTAAATAATGCTCATAAATGGCTGTCCAGATAGTATTCTCAAGTGAAATGAGTAAAGGCATGGACCTGGAAACAGCAGTCCTTACGTCATGACTTAACAAGATGATTCTCCCCAAGCCGTCAAACTGAGGTCACCAGAGCGAGAACGCCATTCCAGAGCAGAAGCCAATTTTCAGTTTTTGATTAAAGATTATGACGGCAGACAATTGTTTTTTCCAGTGTATTGACTTGCACGGTTTAATTGTTCACCACAAGACTAGTAATGTGCACTAAAAAGTAAGTAGGGTCATTTCTGATTTCACGACAACTAATCATGTTCAATACCATTGGCAAAACTAACACATACTACTGTACTGCCATATAGATATTTTAATATTTTACTTTTTTTTTGCACATCCATTTTTTCAAGGCAATCATTATTTCAAGCTTTGAAATTGGTTTAATCCAAGTCTTCTAAAACGACACATTCGCTTTATATGATGAACATATTTTAATATAGGCTTTTATTTACATACATATAAATATTGATCTTTAACCATTACAAAAATCTCAATCTTAAACATTTCCTCATTCTGTGTATTTGTGTCTTTAAAATAGGGTAACTTTGTTGCAAAAGCTTACAGCACAAGGAAGCTTAATTTCAAACTGAATTGAATGTGCAAAAAAAGACAAGTACACATTCAGTAATACAATTATAAAACAAATGAACTCAATTCAGTTGAGGTATCCGAAATATGACAACACTGAATTTTTATAAGCAGTGATTTAAGAGCCATATATGTTAGACCTATTTATTTAGATAAATGGAACATCAGATGACTTTGACCCTAATGTCTGTACAGTGTAGTGATGTGGCGTGACATGTGAGTGAAAGTGACGTGACATGTGGCCAAGTATGGTGACCCGTACTCGGAATTAGTGCTCTGCATTTATCCCATCCAAAGTGCACACACACAGCAGTGAACACACACACCGTGGTCACACACCCGGAGCAGTGGGCAGCCATTTATGCTGCGGCGCCCGGGGAGCAGTTGGGGGTTCGGTGTCTTGCTCAAGGGCACCTCAGTCATGGTATAGAAGGTGGGAGAGAGCGCTGTACATTCACTACCCCCACCTACAATCCCTGCCGGCACCCACAACATTTGGGTTACGAGTCCGACTCTCTAACCATTAGGCCACGACTTCCCACCAGTCCGACTCTCTAAAGATGTGTCTGCATTTAATGATGCAGTTAGACACAGACAGACTAGGATATTTATATGTACAAATCAGACAAATGTCCCATTCCAAAACATTTCTAGCATAAACTTACATTGTAAAGAAATTAAAGTTCCATCTTTGATTGTTGAAAAACTTTCTGGTGCATTTCACTTACAGCCAATACAATTTTCAGTAGGATTTTCATCGGTCAGGCGTGGATCTATTCTGGATGGTTGATAACTTTTGACAAAGTTTAATCCATGAGCAAAGATAAATAATTTCTACTTTAAAAGCACGGAGAGATCGCGATTGCACACAGTCTGAGTGTGCACAAGCAATGTCGGAGTGAGAGGACAGGCAGTTCATTTGTATAAGTTAGGCCTATTTGAGAGCTTGCATCCAGTTTTCTGCGCTTATATGACTGTGTTCTCATGTTACAATAAAGTGCTCGCCACATTTGTGCGGGAATCATAAAAATCATGCGGAATACCTGCAATCCTGCGCGGACATTCAGACTCTGTAATTGACAGGAGGCGGATGCATGTCAAACTCACTGTCTGAGAGGAGAGAGAGATGCAGCTTGTAAAAGCGGCGGCTTTTCCCGGTTCAGATATCAGGGCTTTTATTGGTCCGTTTACGATTGGATATCTTTATTGGCTACTGAAGTGCCGTCAAAGGTTTGAATATCAATTCAAATTGTGGGCATACTCAGTAATGAACTATGATTTAAAATTAACGAAGTAGATTATTTTGCTTAATTTGTACTTAAGTACAAGTAAAAGTACATCTTAAAAAATATACTCAAAAAAGTAGAAGTACCCGGAAAAACTACTTAATTACAGTAACGTGAGTAGTTGTAATTCGTTACCTCCACCACTGCTTAATACGCAGGTCAAATATAAATATGTGATTTCTTTCCCAGCTGTTTATCTTCATAGACATAGACTGTTTTTGTAACTTGTGTGTATTTGACAGTTTAAGTACAATAAGACATGAAATAGGACTTAGATTAGTACTCACATGCCGTGTGACAGCCGCTTTCTGTGTGCATGCTTCGGATGTGTGCGCTCAAAAAAAAAGTTTATCAGAAGTTTAAACTGATATGGCTTTAAAACGCATGATTTCAGCGCAATAGACATGATAATCAAAACCAAAAAGATGTTTTTTTACAGAATATCTGAGGAACGTGCTGTAAAGGCACAGCCTTATTCTGGAAAACAGGGTGGAGAGCAGCAGTTAATTTGCATTTAAAGGCACATGCATGTCTGTTTCCACTCAAAATAGGCATTTAAAAAATTATATAATAAATTAGCTGTGGGGTATTTTGAGCTACAACTTCACAGACACATTCTGGGGACACCTGAGACTTATATTACATATAGGCATAATAGGTGCCTTTTAAAATCTGAAACATTTTGAATAGCATTGCACATATTGAATTTTTTATTTATTTATTTATTTTTTGAAAGGTCAACTAGTTGTGAATAAAATTACCAGTAATTATATCCAATACAAAAAAGCAATCAAGGATGTCAGTAACTTATAACCTTATGGGGTATTTTCATATAGTTTTTAAGCTCTTTACCCAGTGCCTTGCAGTGATTTCAAAGACTAGACTTGCATGTAGCCATGGCAACTAAAGCAGGAACTCTCCAAGTGTGTGTGTGGATAAGATTGGATGAGAGGGATCACCTCCCCTGCAGGTCTGCTCCACCTTTCGGCTTCCTCACTTCAACTCACCCCTCACTTTTTCTCTCTCCCTACCTTTCTCTCCATTCTGCCTCTTTACCGGCAGAGGAGCCCACACCATCCGAGCCTCTACAGTCAGGAGCAGTGCGGCTCACTCCGATATTCACCTGGGTGCTGCCAAGGCTGCCGCCAAACCTGCACCGCCCACCCTCCTCTAGCCTTGGCCAATCACAGTCATGGACATAACCATAACCACACCCACATTCTCCACCAGAACCACACTCAGACTCTAAACCACACCCACCTTCTCAATCACAACCATGCCCACAACCTCAACCACAACCATGTCCATACTCTTAACCACACCCACACCTTGAGCCACAACCACTTGCATACACTTAACCTCAACCATGCCCACGTTCTCCACCAGAGCCAGAGCCTTGTCTTGGAGCACAATCACATGACTGTACGTCTCTGAAATGTACTTTATTGCACGTGTTTGCTTTAGAGTTAGTGCTGTCAATTTTAGAGTGTAGCTGACAGCCTAGCGTGAGCATTTTAGCCAGCTAATTAGATAAGTGGTTAGCTGTCAGCAAATTATTTAGTGCAAAGTAACTGCTTAGATTCCATGGCTGTGCAGTAAAAGTTTTGCATAGTCACAGGTCTCTTTTCTTGTCTCATGCCCATTTTTTTAACTTCAACACGCAGGTATATGCATACATACAGGCTGCTCTCGCTAGGGCATGCTAAAATTGTTCCATAGAGTAATGCCCTGACTAAAGCTTTGTTTTGAACTCCTTTGAGAGTCAATTCTTTTGGCAGCAATAGCCAACGCTGCATTTCAATGAGGGTCTGGAGTTAAAAAGAGCTGCTCTAGGACGGACATTTTCGGTTTACCCTGAGGGACTCAGTCAGTTTGTGTCCACTGTACTGTACCTTTTTTTAAGAGTCCTCCCCTTTTTTCACGAAAATAATATCAGCTTTGTTTGTTTGGAAAGTCAAGACCAGCTGTGTCAGACTGCGGTATGCTAATTCATGTTCACTTTGGTTCATTGTCATTAGTGCTGGTGCCAAGGGATCTGCTATTTACTGTAGAGGTGTTGCAGATGTGTTGCACTAGACTAGTACTTTGTCGAAACACAGCATGATGATTGCTAAAATGAACAACTTGTTTATTTTTTATGGACTCTTTAACCACCACATGCTGCCTATAACAGATTAGCTCCACCCTTCATCATACATAAACTGTATGACCCAAATGTAAATGATGAATAATTGGTCTCTATATGTTTAGTTCACTTGTGGACAGCATGCCATTTGTAACAAGCTGAAGTAATCTCTTCTCTGTCCTTCATTCACTTACACAGACGGACTTTGAAAAAGATGTGGACTTAGCGTGTCAAACAGGTAAGTACTTCTGGGACCTCTTTGCTTTCTCATTCTTGCACTTTCCTCACCATTTTTTCACTTTGCCCTGGTTAATGCAGTTTGTTTGGTCAAATATGTTCATGTAAAGTTAACCCTGCACATCATTGTCTCCCCCTCACCTGCAGAAAGAGGACACCCATGTAAGTCTCACTCTTAAGTTAGAACATTCCTGTTTGTATGTCATTTGTGTTAGTTAGACTATAGCATTTTGTTGATTTTCATAAACTGACATACAAATGCGCATGCCTGCTTTTTGATTGTCATATCCTTATCCTTATGGCATACTAGAGCCTTACAGGGATAGTTCACCCAAAAATGAAAATTCTGTCATTAATTACACACCCTCATGTCGTTCCAAACCCGTAAGATCTTTGTTCATCTTTGGAACACAGGTAAATATATTTTTGATGAAAGCCGAGAGCTTTCTGACCCTGCAAAGACAGCAATGTTACTGAAATGTTCCCAGGCCCAGAAACGTAGTTAAGGACATCATTAAAATAGTCTATGTGACATCAGAAGAATGGTTGAATAAAGTTGTTATTTTTGTTTTCTTTGCGCACAAAAAAGTGTTTTCGTAGCTTTGTAAAATTACAGTTGAACCACTGATGTCACATTGATTATTTTAACGATGTCCATACTACCTTTCTGGGCCTTTAACGTGGTAAAATGCGTTGCTGTCTATGCAGGGTCAGAAAGCTCTTGGATTTCATCAAAAATATCTTAATGTGTGTTTCGAAGATGAACGATGAACGGTCTTACGGGTTTGGAATGACATGAAGGTGAGTAATAATGACAGAATTTTCATTTTTGGGTGAACTGTCCTTTTAATTTTAGCTTGGAATGTCAAGTTCCAAGAACCGTAATTGGCAGGTTTAGTTTTAACACTAAACCAAATTGATCATGTTACTAGTTTCACCTCATAAAGAAAAAGGCTGTGCTGCAGCATTGGCATGGCAGGTTTATTAACATCTATACTTATCTTGGTCTGCAACCTGAACATTATAGGTTTTAAAATGGACATTTTATCAGTTTTGTGGATTATAAACTACCGTTGCTGTAATATCGACCTTATAAAATTCAAAATAAGACAAAATCAAAAGAAGGTGCCTTTATTTTATATGTTATTTTAAATATATGCACTTGTCTTGTATTAATTTATTTTCTTTCACCTTTTGGACTGAGTTATGTTGGCTGTTAAATGTGACCTTATTAATGAAGTATAAAACTGGTAGGCCATTACGGCTGATGGTTTTTCTCTTAGACAAGCTGATTTGTGCATGGCTTTCCTTCCTAACCCTACCTAATTCAAATGAACTCCTACTGTAACACCTATGGGGCACCAACCTTTGCAACCGTCCAACTTCTGCATGCCGAGACTCCTGGATAATAATTCACCTGCCTGAAAATGTTTGTCCTTTCCTGCCCTCACTGCCTTACTTTTACCTGCTCTTTTGAACTGTGCACTGACACACTCCATTTCCACTCACTGTAACTGAGCTCATTTTCTTTTGTCTCATTTTCCCATCATTCCCTCCACCGATCACATTATTTCTGCACCCACTCAAATCGATCTTGCTTACTCTGTCACTGCTTCAACCTCTCCGCAAAACATCTGGGCTCTGTACCTTTGGGAACTGCTTTGTAACCATCTTCCATCCCACCCCTTTCCTTTTTTGTCATGTGCTGTTTTGGCATCCAACTTCGTTATGACCTGTTTCTCTCTCGGTTCTTTGCTGCTCTGTCCATCTGTGTGATCATGTGCACTCGACCTCTGTTTCTGTCTCTTTCTTCCTCCCCACTTCTGTCTATCTGTTCTCTTTCTCTCTTCCTTTCTCCTTTCTACCTCAGTCATTTTTAAGGAGGTAAACACCTGTAACCCTGCTACCATAACTGGCACTCTATCCCGCATCTCCCTGGACGATGAGGACGACCCCAAGTTGGCAACTCATCAGGAAGGCGTTAATTTCAGCAGCCTGCCTGGGAACATCCCACCCCCTAATCTCCTGGTGCAGGTACCTCCTTTGGGTCCGCTGAATGAGCTAAGCGAGCAGCCACTAAAGAAGGACATTAATGTGGAGCATCAACGATCTGGACCCATCTACCTGTGCACGGAGAGCGGGCTGGGTTGGGCCCGACCAAACCCTTCTTCCACACAGGATTCAGCTGGTGGTGGAGGTGGGGAAGGGGACTACATGGTGTTGCCACGTCGGACAGTCAGTCTCAAACCCCCTCCTCCAACCCAAGATGAGGGGAAGCCCCTGAACATTACACTAGATGACCCTCCATTTCCTCCACCCCCTTCACCCATGACTCTGCATCCAGCAGAGAGTGAGGCATACCCTGCAGACTTTGCAGCTGTGGACCACATCAGCATGAACCTAAACCGCTCCTATGGCACGCTCAAACAGTTGCCGGCCCACACCGGGCACACGCATTCCCACACCAACACCCACACCCTGCAGGTCAAGCAGAATCGTCCCTCTGTCCGGCAGATCCTCACCTCGGGAACAGTGGAGCGCACCAGAACCCTTCCCCGCAACCTGGGCAGCACCAACACCAGCCTCTCGGCTGGATCTTTGGAAGTAAGTAAGGGTTAAAAAAGGGTTTCATTCTTTCACAATCTAGAAGCATCACTGCTGAATGTCCCAGGGTATTTTGGAAACCACCTGCAGTTTGCAGTTTTGGCATACAACCTAGGAGCACAATAGTGTTGTAAACTCCAAGCATTCTTGACAGGAAAAGGGAACTGGAGACCACATAGCACAGAGAATCATTATCGCAGGAAAATGTCAGTTAGATCTGCACAAAAACATCACCAAGACAAAAACAAGCATGAATGCAGTGATTGCGAAACACACCAACCCAAACACAAAAAACTGTACATTCCTAACCTAGCAACAGACAATTTCTTACTAGTTCTCTCAAAATTAAAATTGTCATCATTCACGTCATTCCCAACATGTTTGACTTTCCTCTGTGAAACACAAAAAAGGATATTTTGAAGATTTTTTTGAAAGTCACTAGGGTCCAAAACAACACTAGACCCCATTTGCTTTCCAAAATTACATCTTTTGTGTTCAGCAGGAGAACATAAGTCAGGTTTGGAATAACATCAGGGTGAATACTGTAAAGCTGTTGTTATAAGAGAGAAATACTGAGGCTGAATTATCTTATTAGTAATGTCTCCTTTCATTTTGGGGCCGGATGATGCTACATCATCTGTAGTCCCTGAGACACCATACATACTGATCATCTAGCAACTCTCTCATCAGTCTGTCACAGGAATGCATTCAGGTGTGCCTTCTATACCCAGAGTCCCCTGTCAACATGATGTTACACAACTTAGTGACTGCATCGGTGTGTGTGTGCAGTTGCTCTTCTCTCTATAATTACACTACAGCCCCACAAGGAGAAACAGCAGATGGTGAGAGAGAAACAGCCAGAGGAAGTGCCTGAGAGAGCCTGCACTCCTTCATTAACTGACACAGAACCTTCCCTCTCTGTCTCCGACACATAGTTCTTGGGGCTGGGGCATGAATTTCTAACTAAAGTCAGTTGTCAAACTTAAAGTCAACATGAAATGTGTAGTTTTTTTTTCAGCTCTTTTTACCAACCAAAATAGGGTATGAAACTGCAAATGATCAATGAACAGAGGTGCTTAAGCATGGTCTCAGGAGCTCAAACTAATATAAAAACTTTAAACAGTGATTTGTGATTTAATGTTTTCTAGCTATAATTTTATCAAATAAATCACAAATAAATGTATAAAATATACTAATAATAATAATACCGCAAAGGGGGTATAAGTAAGGCAGGTTAAAATCTTCCATACATTAATCTTTTGTTTATAAGGCCTAGTTAGTTTGAGACCACATGCTAATTGATCATCCTGTATTTCCCTTAATTGAAGAAAATAATTTGTTTGGTCGTGTTTTTTTTCCATCCTTGAATACCTCATTCACTCTGAAATGAATTATATTATGGAAGCAAAATATTAATTTCATGTTGACTTTAAAAAACGAATCAATGCTTTGATAGCTGACCACCTATAAAATACACTAAATGTTTCTCAATCATTCTCCATCTATCTGTGTCTCACTTACTCATAAGTGCTTGTAAATGCAGCCACAGGTTGTTAGAGTATACACCATTTTGTATATTAATTTCATATCAGTCATCAAGCTGGAAAGGCTGCATTTTACCAGTTTTTTTTAACTTCACTTTTCTTCTAAAGAACTCACTGACTCAGGTTTGGTAGTCATAAGGTTGGACCACTCAGGGAAAGGTACCTAAAGTACTGATATTTTATTGGGCTTGAACACTGGTGGAGTTTGTGGTGCTTTGGCTTCCTCTCACCTCACTCACCCAGTTACACCTGAAGTAACTTTGTCAACAACTAACTTCTCACACTTAACTTCTCACAAAGTAAACATCGTGACTCATCCTCCCTTTGTGAGTGGCATAGTAGCATAGGCCCAGGTCTTGACTGATTTGTGTTCTGTGAGTCTGAGCTTGTGACAAATCGCCACCATGTGTACTGACTGACTATTGGTTAACTGTATTTGTGAGAGTGTTCCGAAGAACTTAAGACTTTTTATTATAGACTGTCTCTTATATGAAATTTTAAGCTTCAAATACAACAGGAAATGGACATATTCTGTTTGCTTTTTAGATTGATTTACAGGATAGGAAACCCTTCAGAGGTGCATATATAACACTTAATGGGCACTAACTACAATACAAAGCTACAGTGCTAGAGTCCAAAATTAATACTTGTAAGTGTCAAATGTCATTGCCAAGAAACATATAGACCTGCTTAGATTCAGTATATTAGTCGTATCCTTGCTGAGCCATTCAGTCTTAAATGGAAGTATTCTACTAATGAAAACTTTTATTATGATTTAATTGTCTTCCGACTTTAGAAGTTTATATATTATATAATTAATATATTAGATCAGAAGTTATTTTCTACAGAACTCCATGTGGCAACATTATGTGTGTCCTATTATACTGTATGTATTAGCCAATAAAATGGAAATGTGAGGAAAACACCCCTTACCACAATAGGTTGTCACATTTTTGTGACATTTGTCATGTCACTGAGAGACACAGATTGGCTCATCCTGTATGTGTTGCTATGAGTGACATAAAGACCTGCAATGTTAGGTCATTAATCTGCTCAGAAAAGGTAGCTAATTAATCCCATTTTCCAAGGACAAATATATGTTCATAAAGGATTTTCATTCAGGTTTTTTTTTTGTTACCTTTGTAATGGGGAAAATAAACTAGGTGCAGGTAACATGGAGAAAGATTACACATTGTTCATTTATACTACCAACACTGTAACAACACAAAGCTGGTTGAAAATCTGTGAAGTTGTTCTTTAATAAAAAGTAATGAAAATACAGATTCATGGGCCTATAACAAACATTTAATGCCCGTTGGTCTTCTCAACCGACTCACCAAGTGGAGCATTAAGTTAATTTGAAACCCTGTACATTACTATGCAAAGTGCAGAAGTACAAACAAATTTTGTTAGAACTAAGCAAGTTCCTACCAGGCAAGTAGTTTTGGTGTTTACAGATGTTTACAGACTGAGACATTTATAAAATATTATGCCATTTTCTAAACATTCTACCGCTTCTGCTGTTTACATTATATGCAGACAGAGTATTTATTTATTTATTTATTTATTTTTTAATCAAAGGCTCATATCATCATTACTTATGCTGTTTTATGGAGGAAAATCCTATCCAAGGCCTATCCAACCAGTGGCCCAATCCGGCCTGTTTGAAATTTTCAGTGACCCACATAAAGATGCCAGTAAAATATCCTAAAATTATGTCATTAAATATACTGTATTAGATGTAACCAGTTTCAGGTATGATTTGAAAAGTACACATTACATTTTCTTTTTTTTTTAATATAGACATTGTTATGCACTTCTCTTATGCAGTAAGATGCCCGCCATACACTCACTTTTTGTTGAAGGCAAATACACCTTTCCTGTGTTCACGGTGAAGTTTGGTTTTAATCCAAACATAAAACATCCACTGGAAAAACAGTTCAGCTGAAGGGTATTATGCTCACTGCACCTGCATGAGGCAATTGCATCATGGGCGCCAGTTTACTCAGGTGCTGAAAGATGTGCAGTTGTGATTGATGGTGTCTTCTCTCCCCCTCCCCCTTCCCCCAGAGGAAAAGAGTACGGTACTCTGAGCTGGACTTTGAGGTAAGACCCCGTCCCCATCTGCCCTCAGACTAGTGTTTGTGCTTCTGTCCAACATTATCTAGTTGATCTATTCAAAATCAAAATCTATTGATTTTTCAATGGACGCATTCAGGAGCCAATGATAGTTGCTGCTCTGGTGCTTGTTTCCCCCATCATGCATTTAGTATTAGCAACAGTCCTATCCATGGCAGAACTGCTTAGTGTTTCACATGCCTTGATTTCTTAGGCTTTTTCGGCATTGTTTCAAAATAGGGTGACCACATATTGCACTTTGAAATATATATAATAAAATTAAACTATACATATGTAATGTTTAATATAAATTATACATTAACTTAATTGAGTGTGTAAATACAGTTCTGCACATAAGTTTACATCCCCCTGGTGGAATATGAAAGATGTTAATGATTATTACAATGGTATGTTATTTATTTAGTACTGTCCTGAATGAGCTGTAGAAGGTCAACCAACCTAGAATATCAACAGTTGAGTCACTGGTTTGTCCTAAACCATGGGTGTCCAAACTTGGTTAAGGAGGGCCAATGTCTTGCAGAGTTAACTCCAACTTGCCTCAAAATGTCTGCCTGGAAGTTTCTAGTATGTCTAGTAAGACCTTGATTAGCTGGTTCAGGTGTGTTTAATTGGGTTGGAGCTAAACTGTGCAGGACAGTGCCCCCCTGTCCTGTCCATTAACATTTACATGGTCTTTCGTGGGGACGTCATTAGTTTGACAGTAGATTTAAAGTTCATTTAAACAGTATTGGCAGTTAACAGATGTAAAGTTGATGAATAATTGTAATTTACAGCATTGCTGCAGTTCAAATATAGTTTAAACATTGCGTAGCAATAGCTATGCTCAGTAAATTCAGAAACTGTTCTGCATTTAGCATTTCAGAAATCTGGTCACCCTATTTCAATATGACATCTTTGATATGTCTTCACAAAGTGTGCTGTGTAATGACACCATATACAAGCAGGATATGTTTCTGAATACAGAAGGATCAAGGCTGCAGAAACACTGAACCAGTGTAGAGCTCTGTAAGTGTTGAGTGAGTGGCATTATTGTGTGTGAAAGAGATAGACGGCATAATGAGACGAGTAGAGACTGCACGTGTATGACTGAGGCAGCCTGGAGGGCACCTCCATGGAATGATCTACTGGCAGGATCCAGCAAATCTCCAGTCTAAACATCCCAATCCATTTTCTCCAGAACACACTTGTGTGCTTTTAAACCAGCTGTTCTTCAATTATATTTGAAAGCTTAAGTTATGACTGGATATTTGCTATCCAGTATGGAGGCTTCTTCTCAAACAGAGGTATGTCTTGTTACTAACGCATTCAGATGCTTTTAGAACTTCATAACCTTTTCCATCCTAGTCAGTGCTGCATGAGATCTTCTCCCTCCTGTCCTGATAAACAATTGAGGTTGACAGTAGACTAAAATAATTTTAAATTATTTTGATAATCATTTGTTTTGTTACAATGATTAATTTTGAAAAGTTAATTAGCTGAAATATCCCTGTAAATACATAGCAATGTAGTGCTTTTAGTTTTAATTCATTAAATTCCTTTTGAAAACAAAATAAAACTAAACTAAAATAGGTATTGCTCTGGTGAGAAAAAAGCAGTTAGTCTCACAGCCTGGTTAAACTGATCTGTTTGCTGGTTTGGCATTTGTAGCACTTGTTTTCTGGTCAGGCTGGATTGTTGTGTGTTTATGTGCTCTGGCACTCATATTTTGACAAGTAGAATTCACACTGAGCATAATGAAGTTAAATGGGTGAATGTGCTACATTAAATGCCATAAAATGTAAACATTTTATAAATTCATATATTTAACTTTGGTAGCCCTAAAATAAATGAGAATTGTTATATACAGTAACCATTTATAGAAAGCAAAATAAACCCAACATTCCATTATTTCTCAGAAATCAACCATAGTACATGGATGCTTACATTCGCAGGTTGGAGCTCCATGTCAGCTCTGCGTGAACACCAGCTGTGACTACAAAACAGCCCAGCCAGCTTCCAACCACCTCCAATTAAGTCTGTGAATTGGTGGAAGTGTCCGTCAGTAAGAAATGATACTGATCAGAGAGCTTGAACATTGTTTAATACCCATCAGAACCAATCCGTTTTACTACTCAATCAGAACACCACCCTTCGAGAGGATGCATGTTCATAGTGACCCTAGTTTTGCGGTTTAACACCAGTAGCCGTTGACCCAGCTCCTTCCTGGCCTGCCCTTTCTTATTTTTGCTTTTGTTTCTTTTTGTTTTTTGTTTGTTTGTTTTCCCCCTTCCTTACAGAAAGTGATGCACACTCGCAAAAGACACTCAGAGCTCTACCATGAACTCAACCACTCCACCAAGTTCCACACCATAGACAGGTATAACAGGGACCCTGCCATGTCCTCCTTCAAGGTAAGACCCCTCTAACCTGTGACCCCACACTGATACCCATCCCTGACATGGTCAAATTGTTCACTTTAAGTGAAATAATCTCGCCATGTGTTTTCTAAAAATCCTGCGTAATTGCGTCACAAACTCGCTAATGTATTACTATGCTCACACGTGCAACGCTGCAGGAGCTTTAACGCAATAGTAACTGGAGCTCTAAATTGTTTCGTATACATTAATTACTAATGATAGTTACATAAATAATTTGTTACTGAAGGAAACTTCTTGTTTTAATGGTGTAGTAATGTCTTTAATTCCTTTTAACCTGCTTTAAAATTACAGGGATCCAAATCCAGAAACGTTTTGATATTAAAAATGATTCAAATAGAAATGCTATCTGATATTTGAAAAATTAAATTCTGTCATCATTTATTCACTCTCATGTTGTTTTAAACCTGTGGGACTTTAATGGACTTTTTTTTTTTAAGAAATATCAATATGTTTCACAGAAGAAAGAAAAGCATACATGTTTGGAATAACCCGAGGGTGAATGAATGATAACAGAATTATCATTTTTGGGTGAACTATCCCTTAAAAGTAAAAAAACAAAAAGAAAGAATGGGGAGTGAACAGTTTGTAGTGTGATACTTGAATTGAAATTAGAAAAAAAGTAGTTTGAAATGCACCTGGTGTTTGAAAAACTCATCTTTATCAGCACATGCACTACTTTCCATTTCTCCAAGCCTTGTGTTTTGTAAGCTAATTAATACAGTATTAATAGCTGGATCATATTTAGTCTCCTGCCATTAAGCTTCTCAAAGTACACCTGCCCGCTGCAGCACTGTCTCCTATCTGCTTCCCCTGGAAAGAGCTGAGTGTTCATCTTTGCATTAGCTAGACTGCTGAATCGTCAATGTTCTATTAGCAAAAGGAGAATTGCAAACATCCACGTGCCAGTGTCCAGAGGCTTTTGTCATTATGATTTAAAAACAAATGCCCTGTGGAAAATTACCTGCCCGCAATTTGCGACAAGTGTATACTTTGGTGGCATTTGCCACATGCTCACTCACTTTTCATTTGGATCATGCTGTCTGCAGCCTCAGTTACAGCCTATTCCAGCCCATTAGATTCTTGTGCTGCATTACTTTTCACCAGAGGCGTGTCCTGGGGTGGCCCTGGCCACTGGAGGGATTTGATTGGTCACCCCAAAATTCTAGCCATCTCTTAAGTTATCAGTGAAGATATATGTAGTATTTTTCTTGACAATGAGTCTGTACCCGACATGGGCCACCCCAGTCAAAAAAGTCTGGACACACCAATACTGGATAACTTCAGACAAGCATTAGATTAGAGGTTCATGTTCTCACATTACAGAGGATCAAATGCTTTCTAAATGCTTTTCAAATGTTTTGACACTAAAGAGTTCTTCTGACAGTATTGATGAGTCATGATGCTTTTAGCATTCGCCTTTCGATTCCCAATGGAAAAGCTTCCTGCTTGCATCATAAAATTATTTTGATTTCATTCCACAGGTTTAATTTTGTTGACAATGCTGTAATTACAGCGATAATGGTGTGCAGGAGAGTTTGAAAAAAATTTAATTGTAATTATTATAATAACTCAGTGCCTAAGACAATCAATTATTTGGATTTCTTCTTTAGGTCAGGACCAATGTAAGAGCAACTTTCCACTTATTTTTCATAATTACTTCATAAAGAAGTGGTTTTCAAATGCATGATAATAAATGTAATCTAAAAAACAAGTGCACTTTACAGGATCCTGCTGGATTCATAACCATTCAACATGACATAACTTTCCCTAAAACCAGTTTACCTCATGAAACCACATCTACCTCAAAAACTATAACGTCATAACAACAAATCTGTGCTAAAAAAAAAAAAAAATGTGCCATGCCAATGGTCTTTAAACCCCTCTAACAATCCGGCCGACTTCACAGGTTCCCCCTCCACCTCCACCACGACAATCTGAGCCTTTAACACGGAGAATGAGCTTCGTTTACAAAGAGAGCCAACGTAAGCATGTCAACCAGACTCAGTATTCCCAGCCCCGTGTGGTAGGGCCCTGATTTATGAAGGCTCTCATTGGTGCAGTGTAAACCCTCACTTTGTGGAGTCTAAGAAGTGTCGAGGACTAAATGTTGAGTGTGTTTTTTTCACATTAGATTGTGTTAACTCAGCGTGGAATATTCCCTGCAATGTTGTGGTGTACTTGTTGTAAATCACACAGCTCTTGCTTTGACATTGTGCTTGTGCTAGTGCTGTTTTAAACCCCTTTAAGTTTTTATTTAAAACCAAACCATACATATAAACCCTTATAAACCACAAAAACCTTCGGTTAAATTTATCAAAATGTGTTTTAAAAGATCATAAACACTTCAAATTTAATTTGGCCACAAATCTGCATTAAAGTGAGAATAACCCGATTGGTGTACGGTAAGTAAGCACATACTCCTCCAGCAACAAGGTTATACCGATGATATTAGAAGTGTGTTTGGCGTGTGTGTGGGCCATTAAAGAGATGAGTGCACATTCGGGAAAAATCTAAGCCATTTTTCCCTCCTGTCTTATTCTAGACTTTCCTTTTATCCCATTGGATAATTCTAACAGCTGGTGAGGAAAGTGAGCTTAGTGGGGTCTCTAACACATCTAAATTGCCCCTTCCAGACACTGTCCATTTCTTATAATCGTCTTTTTCTCTCTATTTCCCTCCTACATACGCTGACTTCAATCTCTCGTTTGTACCACGGGTTCGCTTCATCTTCTTCTTCTTTTCTACGGGGACAGTGGAGGTGCCTTAGTCACTTGCAGTCCGTTAAATTGCTTGTGTTAGTGCGAATGGAGCTTGATGCAGTTTGAAAGGCAGTTAACCTCTAAGTGAAGATGCTGGCTGGGCTGATAGCTGTAGCGGAGGCACCCCATATGGTCCCAAATGGATGAAGGACTGGTACCCTGTGTTCAATCTATTCATGCTAATGGGGATCCTACAAATGAACACAGCGGGAAACTTAAGAGCAGAGGAAGGCAACAGTCTGGCTCTTGAAATATGTATTAGCTGAAAGCCTCTGCTCTTACACCCACTGACTGTTTTACAAAAGAGTAAACATCATAAATACATGCACGGAGTTAGCAATAATGTAAGATTTGAACAATCCCCTAACCTAAAGTATTAAACTAAGGCATATAACCCACATAACGTATGATATGGACATGACTGATGCTTTAAATCATGTACTACATTTCTATGCATTTTTTTTCTTATGAAGGGTGATACAGTTTGGTTAAAAAATCGTGAACTTCTTTGAAAGGAGGAGGATTAAGGGCAAAATGTGTGTTTTTTTTAAGGTAAAAATATAAATTGCCATACAAATCACAGTTTAATTGTAAATGCATTTAATTCCACAATAAATTATTAAAATAAAAATACATTATTATGTTTTTGAATGTTAAAACATTGTCCACCACATTTGATTTTTTTTTTTTTCTCCGATCTGTACATTAGGTTGTTTTGTTATGTTACACCCCTGGAAAGAATTACAAATATTTTTAGAGTACAGAGACAACAATACTATAGTCTTCTGGTAAAATATATTATGGCTAACTCGTCTGTAATCTGGACAACATTGCTGCAATTACTATGATTGCAGCTAAAATATGTGTTGAGTCACCTACTTAAATTACATCTAGGTGTTAAAGGCCTTCATCTGCAATTAAAAAGTTTAATCCAAAGCATGATTACATTCTGTGAACCCTATCAACTAGTACTATTCAAACTGCTTTCTAGTATAAATGGCTCATTAAATCTTTCAAAACCCTATAGCACTGATAATATATAGTATCAGTAGTAGAGTGGTCTCATGAATCTAAAATTGTAATTGTCATGCTTTAAAGGTTACGCTCTGAACATTTATCAGTACTCACACAGTGTGTGTGATTATAAGTACCCATTAGTGTGCATCTGTGAGTGTTTACCTATTCTTAGCGTGTTTGGTTAAGCCTCGTTGAAACTGTTTCCCTGCAGTTGAGTTGAATTATTGGTATCTGAGCCCAACTGTGAAGTTCAGGTGTTTGAAACAGTTTGCTACAGTGAGAACGAGTATGTTTTCACCCTTGTCGATTTTCTCTCATAATAGTTTCCTCATTTACTGGAGATTCATCCCTCTTGGGTATCAACTGAATAACCGATTTTTGCCATCTTGTATTCGCCTTTTGTCCACACAAAATTAGGCCCGAAATGATATTTTCATTACAGAGTATTGTGTTGACCGAAAATGATATTTTCTTTACGGAGTATTGTGTTGACCGAACTTGAAGCAGATGCACCATCAAACAGCTTAATGAAGGGGCTTAAAGCTGGGATGGGACTCTGGCACACTCATACACACGGCAAAATGCTAATTTGCAGTCTGTGCCAATTAAGACGTAATTAGTGAGATATGTCATGTCTGCAGATTTCACCATGTAGGACTCTCTTCCTGCTGTATTGTAGCGCAGCTCATATCTGGATCATGGCATAGAAGGGATAATACAAATTTTTGTGACAGTTTTGTGTCTGTTTTGCCCTTTTGTGTTTTTTCTAACATTGAACTGAGTAGAATAGATTACAGACTATTAGCAGAGCTTACATAATGCAGTATAACTCAGCAATGGCTGTCATAGCAGAGAGACCAGATAAGGCTTTTAGCGCATTATCCTTTATACATAATGTATGACTTTATAATGGAGGGAACTCAGAGATCATGTATGGAATGAAGGTGACCGTATATATCAACATTTATTGTGGTTATCCGATTATATTTAATGCTCCAAGAGTTAAGATACACATTCCACTGAAACAAACAGCCTAATATGTACATTATCTCATAATTCTGGCCTTTTATTGTGGGGTGGAGACCCCAAAGCTCACTAAATATATTTTTTTGTGTATAAATGTAGAGGGGAGAATTCACTAAAATTGCACAACGCTGCCTGTGTTGTTTCAGCATATTCACTAAAGGAATTATGCAAATCAGGTGTAAAATGATGCTAATTAAAATTTAATGCAAACAGCTAAAAAAATGTGGTGTTCAACACAATTTGCATGACACTATTGTTTTAATTGTCAAATTGTGGACAGTGCGGTAGACTACTGCTATCTGGCGTACTTTAACTACACTATATAGTTTTAGTACATTGCTCCGATCCATCCGCCTGAACTGGCTTTAAAATGCTATAATTAAATATATAGCCAGTTAAAATGCTCTTCTCTATCATTTGATTATCTTTTGATGAATTACCACTCCCAAAATGGCAAAACTAAAATTGTTTAGTGAATTCGCCCCAGACACTCATCTCTGACAAAGGGCTTGTCGTTCTATCCTGCTTCTCGTTCTGTGTTGCATACCCACATTTTTTTACTCGATCCACTATACATTTTTATCTTTTTGTTATGGATTTTTATTTATTGTTTATGTTGTGTATTGTTGCTTTTTCATAATGCACTGCTTGCCAGTCTTTGTCTTTCCTTGGTTTGAAACTACATGTTTTCTGTCATAGTTTGACTGTAGCCAGGCAGTCAGCAGACCCAAGGGCGACAAAAAGAGAAAAGGTAACAGAAAAAAAATCTCATCCAGAGAGCAGTGTGTTTGAGCCACAGAGTCACAGAGAGTGTTTCTTTTTGTCCTTTCCACCCTATAGTCTCCATAGAAACTTCTAGACCAGTACAGAACTCCCATAGCGAATAAACTTGCTCTCCCCCGCTGCCCTGCTGCTGTAGACACTACTCCTTTCACATCTTTCCTTTGCTTCATTGTGCAACAGCTGACTTCTTCTCTGACCTGTGCGTTCTCATTTGTGTAGTGGACACAGACTGTAGGTTGTGGTCACTGCTGTGTTGCTGTACCTTCCTTGCTGTCTGTGCACACCTATTTCTAGTTCTCGAATCCAAAGAGTGTCTTTGTGTAGAAGAGGTGATACAGTTGTTTAACTTTGTAAAAACATAAATTGGTGAATTTTTCTTGGGTAAAAAACAAAGGAGTGATTTGAATATTACTTTCATTTTCCTATACCTCATCAGTGGACTAGGGTCATGCAGACTGTATGTATTCTTGCTGATGTCATTCCTGCCCATCACTACTTTCAGAAAAGAGAGGAAGG